TGTGAACTGCTGTATGAAAAGTGAATTTACTCTGTAAATCTTCACCCAAATCCAAATAAAATTAAAAAAAAAAAAAAAAGAAAGTAGTAAATTTCTGCTGCACAAAACTTTTATAGATGTGTTGGTTTCACCCTGGACAGTGTCACCCAGTTCAAGTGCAGTCCACACTCCCTGTACTCCCCTAGTGATACCACTGCTGTGATCAGGGGCTTCCCTGCCAGCTGAGGTCCCAAAAAGGCAGATGTGTCTGGGACTCTCCACACCCTGGAGAGTGGGAAAGACCACAGCAGGCATCTGCCAGCCCCCACACTAAGCCACACCCCCACAGAACACTGCTGACACCACCAACCAGCTGGTGGCACCAGGGCTCCTTCCACTTCTGCCCAAACCATGGGAAACCAAGAGGCACGAGGGCCTCCTCAGAGTCTCCTCCCACCCCGGGAGATGCTTTCCACACACTGCACCACCAACAGCACACAGGCGAGGCCCTCCCCTCCCCAACCCGATGCTACTTTGGGAACAGGGTTAAGCAAGACCATAGAGAAGAGGAAGGCACTGGCCTCCCGTGTGGAGACGTGGCTTTGACACCTGGGCAGGGGTGCCACCCCATCTGTGGGTGGGGGCTCCCATGGTACTGTCATGTTGGACAGGTATCAGCAGAGCGGGCAGACTACGACAGGACTAGGAAGAAAAGGCATGGTGACGCGCTTCCGAAAAGGAGCCAGCAATAGCCCTGTGGATCCCCACAGTTCGATCTGCAACTGGTCGTGTGGATGGCGCAGGACTGGGCAGCGTGTCGTTCACCACGCGTGGGGGCGCCACGAGTCAGGGACTGACCAGAAGGCAGCTGACGAGGATGTACTGGGACCTCACCATCACCAGGATTTCACCAAGACTGTCTATGAAGGGATCTCTCCTCCCATTAAATCATTCAAGGATGCCATCCCCAAAAATGCCAACCAGACAGAGCAGCATCAAAACGTACCTTTTATTCAAGCCCAAATGTGCTCTCTTCCTCAGCCCCATGGCATCCCTCCCTCCATCCTGACCTCACCCTGCGCGCCAGCAGCACTTCACCCCCCGTGCCCCCTCCCTGGCAGGCCACTCTTCCAGATGCTGGGGTCCACCTCAGCTTGGGCGTCGGCCGGAGCTCTCGTTTCAGTCTCTGAATTTACCCAGCAGTGGCTTCGAAGGCCAAGCCCCCAGGCCCTGCTGGTCCAGGAGAACAGAGAGCCGCTGGCGTGCCTCCCGGTAGGGCCCAGCCTAGAGCAGGAGACAAGAGGGAGGAGGATGATTGCTGGGGTGGGGGTGGGGATCGCAAACCAGTGCAGAGACAGCAGGACTGGGGTGACTGACCTTGGCTGCCTCATAGGTCCTCAGGGCCAGGAGGTGGACCTTGCCCAAAGCTCGGGCAGCCTGACGGAAGGCGTGGAGAAAGGCAGCCTTGCAGAGGCGGGAGGGAGGCCCGAGGGTCCCGCTGGGAGGAGGAGGAGGAGGAGGAGGAGGAGGAGGAGGGTCAGCATCACAGGCTGCAGCGTACAGCACTCTATACCATGACCACCTTACAGGTGGGCACAGAGCACCAGCTGGGGCCAGGGGGCCCGCAGATGCCTGCTGGGGTTGGCCCAGCTTCCAACTAGCACGTGTACTCCAACCCGAGGGCCTCCCAGCATCCCCATCCCACCCCCCAGCCCTTCTCACTCTGCCTTCACCCGCCCGGTGGTCACATCCACAACCTCGACTTCGGAGTCCCCCAGGCTCCAGTTGAGGCTCAGGCTGTGGCAGGTACTGGGGCTGGGACTGGAGGGGGCCACTGAGGGCCCTGCAAACAGGTGCAGGGCGGTACGGGTGTAGGGGGGTGGCAGGCACGGCCCTTCTGCCTCATCCAGTCTGGGTCGCGCATGGATGACCCTGCTCAGAGTGGGGGGATCGTGGCAGGGGTCTGCTGTGGGGGCAGAAAGCACAGAAGAGGGTGAGGTGCCTCCCCCCCACAAACAACCCAGACCCCATGTTCCACCGCCCTGCTCCCCAGAGTCCCTCACCCAGGACGAGGCTGGTAGCATAGAGGGGTGGCAGGAAGTGGGCTAGCAGGGCACCCCCCAGTCCCAGCACAGCCCAGCGGGCGAGCTTGTCACTAGCCGAGAGACAACCCACATGGCTGTCGCGGAGCGTGGATGCCACATAGCATACGGGCTTCAGCTCCCCGCGGATGTGGGCCTGCAGGCGGAAGGGGGGACTGTGCAGGAAACTACCTTCTGAGGATGAGGGGAGGCTGCCAGCAGATGGGGACAGAGAGCAGGGTCAGGGCTGTTCCCAGGGGCGCCCCCATCTCTGTCACCCTCCCCTCCCCCCATCTCCTTCTAGGCTCCCCCATACTAGATGTCATGGGCCGCTCCCTTGGGAGTGTTGCTGACATAGAGATGCAGGAAGATTCCAGGCTTGAGAGCAAAGGGGGGCCCAGGCCCAGGCTTGGGAGCCAGCACTGACTGCTCCTTGCCTCTGGGGCCGCCTTGCGTCACCAGCAGAAGCTGCCGGAACAGGAACCTGGGAGTGACAGGGAGGAGGAGGAGGGCTGGGGGCTACAGCTGAGCACCAGTCAACCTTCACCGCGGCTGGGCCTGACCAGCAACCACCTCTCACCTCAGCAGGGCCTGGCCAGCACCCACCCCTCACTTCAGCTGGGCCCAGCCAGCACCTACCTCTGACCTCAACCACACCTGGCCAGTACCCACCTCTCACCTCAGCAACGCCTGGCCAGCATCCACCTCTGACCTCTGACCTCAGGAGGACCCGGCCAGCACACACCTCTCACCTCAGCAGGGCCCAGCCAGCACCCACCTCTCATCTCACCAGGGCCTGCTCAGCCAGTGCCCACCTGTGACCTTAATAGGGCCCAGTGAGCACCACCTCTCACCTCAGCAGGGCCCGGCGGGCGACCACCAGTCCATGGCAGTCATGCAGCTGGCGGCCCGAAAACTCCAGCCAGCCGGCGTAGCAGCTGCTGCCGGTGCCCAGTGCCACCAGCTCATAGATCTCCTTGGCATGGGCCCTGCTTCCTGGGACCTCTGTGCAGAGAAGGGTGGAGATGGTCCAGCCTCAGGGAGGGACCCAGGTGGGGGCACTCGAGGTGGTGGGCCAAAGCAGCTGTCCCCACCTCTCTCTAAGATAACTGCAGCCACGGTCCCCTTGCAGGCCCAGTACGGCAAGCTCCTGTCCACCAGGCGGTCAAAGCCGGCACTGACCACTGCTGCACAGCGCTGCTCGTGGGTCACAACACTCCCTGGGCCAGGGGAGAGAGCAAAGTGGGGTCCACAATCCAGGTCGTCACCCTCGTCACCAGGGGCTGGGTCAAGGAGCCCACCTACCTACACTCAGGGGGCCAAGTGGAGGGCTCCTAGGAGTCTTGTGAGGCTCTGGAAGAGAAACAAGGGTGCCGGGTCTGGTCTCCATCCTTCAGGAAATGAAGACGTTCCACTGGGATGAGAGGGGAGGCCTTCACTTCCAGAAACCAGAAGTCCCATGGGCTGCTCCTCACCAGCCCGTCCCCAGCACGGGTGGGGCTTCAAAGGGCATTAGAGCAGGAGTCAGTATGTGTTCCCATCTCCAGCCTGCTGCAACTCAGAGCCCGAGGCCCAGATAGACTTCACTACAGTCACCCCATCCATGCACGTGTGCATGTGTATACACACACACACACACGAATACACTCAGCCCCCTTACATGCCCCATCCCACTAGGGCATGGTGTCCTGGTCCCGCTACCTGGGCCCTCCAGCTGAGTCCTGATGTACCGCAGAGCCAACACAGCTGCCTGCTCTTTGGCCTCTGACCTGCTGCTGGCAGCACTCGCAGGGCAGACCACTCCATCCAGCTCCACGCTCGCCGAGAACGGGGTGCAGGGACCTGGGGAAGGAGAGGCAGTGAAGTTCCTCCTGTCCTCCAGCCACACCGTGGAGCCTTTCTAGGAGCGGGTATGACCCCCAGTCCTGCCGCAGTCCCCGCAGCTCTTGCCCACACTTCCTCCTGACAGCAGGGTCAACCCGAGTGCCATAGACAGTATTACCCTTCACTGACTGCTGACATCAGTCGGTCCACACCAGGCACTGGGGGTGCCCATCGTAGTGAGAATGGACACGTGTCAGACCCCCTTCAGGTACGAAGGTATTATGCACTGAATTGGGTCCCCCTAAAACATATGTCAACTCAGCTAGGCCACAATTCTCAGTATTATATAATTATCCTCCATTTTGTAATCAGATGTAATTATCGTTTATGCTGCAAACCCTAACTTCCAGGATGTTAACGAGGCAGAATTACAGGTAATCATGTTCATGAAACAGGACACAATCCACAGGATTAGGTTATTGATGGAGTCAAGCTCTTTGAGATATACAAGACATTAAACAATGGAGCAGAGATCGAAGAGACCTCCCACCACCAAGAAAGAAGAGCCAGGAGTGGAACACCCTTTGGCCCCAGGGTCCCTGAGCTTACAAACTCCAAGACCCAGGGCAAGACTGAGGACAGGCACCTCCACCGAGAGCCGATGGAGAGCGAGCCTTTCCCGGGCGCTGGCACCCTGAATTCCGATGTCTAGCCTCAACTGTGACAGGATACACTTGTCTGTTAGAGCCACTCACTTGTGGCATCTATCACAGCAACACGCGTAACTAAGACGGATGGTACGATTGTTTCACAGATAAGACACAAGAAGGTAGGCAGATTGGCCAGGTGCTGCCAGAACACAAATCCAGCTTCTCGCCCAGAGCCCAAGCTACGTCGCTCTCAGGAAAACAGTTCCCGAGTACCTGTACAGTGCTCCACCCTCCCAACAGACAGAGCCTTCTATTTCTTCTCTACTCCAGGGCCCAACAGTGTACATACTGTCCAGCAAACTACCATTACAGTTGTTACTTAAAACCCAAAAGAAACACCACGGGGATCATGCAAAGAGAACAATATCCTAAACTGCTTGATTGTTTTCCAGAAGGGCTGAGCCTCTTTAGGGAACCCATCCTAACATCCTCACCAGTTCTACCACGTGTCTACTAGGAAGAGAGGCTTGCTACTGCCCTGGGGTGATCTTTAAACCTTAAACCAAAAATATCCCCTCAAGTCTTCTGAAAACCAAACAACAGTTTAGCTTTACTAGGAAGGAACGTCTGTTAGGAGCATTGTACTCTTTCACAGTCTCTCCATGGGATCTAAATGACAACAGTGATTAGACAGGAAGCTAAGGGGGCAGTGAGTGTATTCCAATGGGGGAGGAATGACTTGGGAGGGGAGGGTGAGAATATTTGCACAACCTGAAGAATGAATCAACGTCGCTGAACTGTACACGGAGACTGTTGGATTGGTTTCCATTCTGCTGTATGTATTCTCAAAGACAACAACATAATTATTTAAAAGGGGGAAAAACAAGCCCTGAGAATGCCACGGGAAGATGTAGAAGGGATGATGATGGAGCTAGAGAGCCTACAGAGTTTCCAACAGCTGATTTCTCAGAAGTAGATCACCAGGCCTCTCTTCCAAGGCACCCCCGGGCAGACTCAAACCTTCAACCTTTCGGTTAGCGACCAAGCGGACTGACAATGTGCACCACCCAGGGACCCCTTGGGGTCCTCCCAGGAAGTTTTAAAACAATGCCGACGGCTTGAGGGCTGACCCCCTTACTATCTCCTTAGAAACTGGCCATGTGCTGGCCTAAGGGTGGGAGCCTGACCTCAAGACCTGGTGTCCTGCTGTGTGTGTGAGTTGGATCTGTGGGGCTGAGGGTGCTGTCCAGGAAGAACAAAGGGCATGTGGGACGGCTGCCCTGTATAGTGTCGTCTCCCTCAGGTATTCTCAATGCTAGTACAGCAACTGGCGTGTAAGCAGCCCTCAAAAGAGCGTGCTAAATGCCTGGGTAGCTTGGGGCAAGTCTGATGTTCCCCAAGCTTCAGACAGGGGCCATAGGGCCTCGCCCCGGCCCTGCCACAGTAGATGAGGAGGACCTACCTCCAAGCCCCAAACTCAGTCCAGCTCACAGTTCCCCGTTCATACCCTCTGGGGTCAGCCGGTCATCAGCCCATCTTCAGAGCACAGAGGGCAGTGTCCACCTTCCCTATACCCATAACCACAAACACAATACCCAAGCACTCACCTGCCGCATGACCCTCTCGAAAGGTCAGAGAAACACCTAGGTTGGCCGCGTACTGTGTGAGCAAAGCCACGGCCTGGCCTGGGGGTGGGTATCTGAGCTGCAGGCTCACCTGTTGGGCCGCCATCGGGAAGTCCGTGGCTGGTCCTGCGGGAGAGACACAGACCCTTAGGGCCATTCCCATCCGTCCCGCAGGATTCCAGTGTCCGGGATGCCCCATCCCCCCTACTCCCTTCTGGCCCCGCCTCAGCCCACCATGCCCGGCCGCGGGGGCCTTGGGCTGCCCGCCACCCCCATCGTCCTCCACATCAAAGGAAGGTGCAGGCTCCCAGGGGTCTTGGCCCAGACTCGCTGAGGGCTGCCAATGGCTGGGCCTGGGGTTGATCTTCAACGACGCAGCTAGGCGGGGCTTCCTCCGGACGCTGTTTGCGCCCACTGCCGCTGAGCTGGTTGGGGAAGCCATGGCAGGATACGGAACCGCTACCCAGCCCCCTATCTGGCCTTGCGCATGCTCCTTTGCTCACGCAGGCGGCTTCCACGTGAGGAGCATGCTGCCTCGCAGCTCATTGAGAGCTCCGCCCCCCATGTCAGCCAATGGAAAGGACTCTCCTGGCCGCGCATCTTGAGCGGCACTGCAACCTGTCCAGCCAATGGGAAGGTCGGTCTCCTGGCGACCATAGCAAGCGGTGTAACAAGAGTCCCGCCCCCCACCCCACCCCCCGTCAGGCCAATGGGGAGACCATGTTGGCTAACGGCAGGATTGAACTGACCCTGGGCTGGTCTCACTTCCGGGGCTGGGTTTCAGGAGCGGGCCTACAACCTCCTCTTCATTCTTGTGTGGTCCTGGGGAATCAATGATTAGGGAAGAGGGTGTGAGGGCCATAGTCCATTCTGGCTGCCACCACAGGTTGCACCCCAAACACCCCCCCAATCATACTAATTCTCCCCCAGCTGCTTATCCTATCTGAGCCTCATTTGATAAAGTTCTCATAATTATAACAGTTCCGCAATCTTTGTTGTGGTCTACCTGAAGCCAGAAGTCTTCTGGTAGCGCAAAGGACTAATGCACTTACCTCCTAACAGAAAGGTTCAGGTTCACCCAGTGATGCCTTGGAAGAAAGGCCTAGAGAGTTACTTCCAAAAAATCAGCATGGAAAACCCTGTGGAGAATATACTCTGCCACACAGGGGTCACTGTGCGTCAGAATCAACTGCTGCTTCTCCTAAGGCCTGGTCCCCAGACAGAAGCTCTGGTGGCGCAGTGCCTAAGGCACTTGACTACTGAGCAGAAAGCTGGTGGTTCAAACCCACCAGCCACTCCTCTGAAGGAACACTGGGCAATCTACTTCCATAGAGATACCGCCTGGGAAACCCAAGGAGGGGTCACTATGAGTCAATGTCACTATCCCTGGGAACTTAGAATCGCAATTTATCAAGCCCCGCCCCACACCTACTTCAGGAACTCTGGGGTTAGCGCCTAGTAGTCTTGTGTTTCAATGTGCCTTTGGGTTGGTGCTGATGCCTGCTAGAGTTTGGGAACCAGTACCTTAAGTTAAGGGGTCCTGGTGGAGTAGTGGTTAAGCATTTTGCTATTAACTGAAAGGTCAGAGTTTTGAACCTGCCAGCCACTCCACAGGAGAAACATGTGGCAGTCTGCTTCTGAAAAGATGTACAGCCTTGGGTCTCTATGAGTCTGCCTCCACGGCAATGGATTAACGGGTGGCTTTAAAGCTACACCTTCCTGATACCTGGGGAAATCCATGAGACTCGGAGAGATACACTTACGCCTATTTGTAGAGCCTGCTTCTTGAATTCAGTGACATTCAGTAGGATTCCTGACTAACGTAGTGCCTGGCTCGCAGTATATACATGGTAAATGCCTACTGAATTAATTTAATACAACAACGTTATCAGGCATGAGGTTGGTTAAGCAGAGGTGGGATTCAAACCCAAGTTCTTCTGGCCTTCCCTACTGGTACTTGAGGTCCCCCACCGCCCACCGCACCGCCTGCAGCCCATTCCTCCTCTGCCCGCGAGATGGCGATCGAGGACGCCAGTGAGGCCAAACTGGGAGGCGGGACTTCCTGTCTCCGAGGGAACACTTCCGGCCAGACCCGGAAAACAGTTCATTCACGTTGTGGGTTCCATCCCATCAAGCTCTGGCGTGGGGTTGCAAGTTTTGGGTTCCCTTGCGGAACAGGAGCCAGGAGGGTGTTTCGCGAGGACCCGTTTCCCAGACGAGTACGCCAAGGCCGGGGCACGTAAGTTCGCGCGCCGCCCGGACGGGAGGAGAGAGTGCAGCCCACTGGATGGCGAGAGAGGGGTCCCGGGTCCTAAAGAGACGCTGGTTTATTCGCGTGGCGGGCCCGCAAGCCCCAAAGTCTGTAGCTTTGGGACAAGTCATTTTGGGTGATTAGCAGCCCCTGGCTCACAAAGACACTGGGGATATGTGATTCCTTTTTCACGGGACCTGTTCGAGCGGAATCAGACAGCCTCTTCCTTACTTTTTCACCGCAAATTGCTACCCAAGCCCTAGAGAAGGGTGCAGGGTGTCGTGGGAGAGGAGAGGTGGGAAAAGTGGGAGAGGTTTCCCTGAGTCGGAGAACATTCACTCCAGATCTGAAGGTTAGGTGGGCGGGAGGGCGTGGCGCTGGCGCTCTACCTAAGCGGAGGAACAGTGTGCAAAGGCCCTGTGAAGAGAAGAGACACAGTGAGTAGACGGGTGTGATTGGAGCCCAGAGGACGCAGGGGTCAGCTGGAGACGTAGTTTGTGTCTGCTGGGTTATGGGAGATGCATCCACCTCGGAGAGGCACGGGTGCTCCTTAACCACAACTGTGCAGTCAGTCCTAGGGGAGTGAGAGTTTCTCACAGGAGTTCACTGAGCACCCGGCTCTCTGCCACCATCCTCTCCTGCGTGGAAAAGAAAACCTTTGCAGCAGCCAGACACCGGGGACTCCGGAAGCAATGCGGTACAGTTCCTGCCCTCAGCTGTCAGTCTTGCGTTAGGCACAAGCCAGACATAAACTAGGGTCTGATGCCTGCCCCTAGAGAAACACTGGCCTGTTTAGCTGGCTGGTGTTTACTTAGCACCTCCTGTGTGACAGGCACTGTGGATGATGCAGAGGGTTCCTGGATGTGCAGAGGTTGCAACTTCCGTGTTCTGAAACACAGCGAGAGTTCCAGGGAAGGTGATTTCTGTTGACTGGGCTCTAACACGAGCATTTGGTTTTGGATGCACGTGGGTGTGGTTGTTCAGAAACCAGACTTTGATCTGTGTGGGGGATCACATCTTGGCTCTGGCACTTTGGAGCTGTAGACAAGTTACCCTAACCTGTGCCTCAGTTTGGGGCTATAGAAAGAGGGGCACAACTTGTAACGTGGATGGTAGGACTCAGGAAGTGGACGCTGCTGTCCTTTTGGCGTTTAATAAAAACGGAGGGGAGTGACACCTCCAGGCACTTTGTGTTCCCGAAGCACTTGCCATACATTTCTCTTTATTCAACTCAATCAGTGCATGTTCTGGGAGGCACTGTGCTTGACAGTGGGAAGACAGGTAGACAACACTCAATCCCTGTTCTCAGGCTCATTTGGCAGAACATACTACACAAAAACAGTCTACATCCTACTTTTGTGAGTAATGACTGGAGTCTTAAAAGCTTGCAAATGGCTATCTAAGTTGCAGCAGTTGGTCCTTCCTCATCCAGATCAAAGAAGAATGAAAAAAATAATGTAGAAACATACAAACAATTAATCCAAGGGACTAGTGGACTATGCAAACCTCAGCCTTCATGACCCTGAGACCAGAACTAGATGGTGCCTGGCTTCCACTGTCAACCGCTCAGAAAGGGATCAAAATAGGAGATCCTGGATAGATGGGAGAAAAAAGACCAGGTTGACTGGTCTGATAGAGACTGGGGACACTCCTGAGACTATGGTCCCTAGTCACCCTTCAGGCCTGGAATTGAACTCACTCCTGTGGCTTCCAATAGACAAGCATGTAAGGTGGACATTTATACCAGGCAGATGCATTCCTTAGAACAGTCAACCGTGGGAGATCAGAAGGGCACAGGAAGATCACTCAGAGGGCGGGGATTCATAGGAAAGAAGGACACAGGAAGAAAGTAACCACAGGGAGGAAATGGGAAGAGGAACATTGCATTGTGAGGATTGCAGTCACTGTCATGAAACAAAACGTGTATGAGGTGATGTATAGAAAATGAATTTGCTCTGTAAACTTTTACCCACATTACAATAAAAAGTAAGTAAATAAATGTTCCTGATTAAAAACTTAAAAAAAAAAAATTAGACTCAGTCTACAGCTTTGGAGGGACTGGAGCCTACCAGCCTCGGGTGTTAGGGCTGCAAACATGTTCTCTCGCAGGCTGTTAAGAGCGCTCGTGGGCACGGACCACTGCCACGCATCTTGTGGCATCCGTAGCCTGTCCTCCTTGTTTGTTGTGTTTGTGCCACCTGCCAAGCACACTCTTTGCATTGCTGCCTGTTTGACCTGGAACCGTCTTCCCTGTTTTCTGCTGGCTCTTTCCCTCCTTAAGATCCAGCTCTGCTCATGCAGCGTCTCCTTGGTGAGGCTTTCCCCGGCCGCCGCTGCTAAAACCTCAGCGTTGGCCCTGTGCTGTCCCCTCCCTCGGGCTTGGGGATTTGTTCTAATGTAGCCCCCCTTGCTGCCTGGCGTTAGGCTCCATACTCAATTGTTTTCATCATCAGCTTCCCCAAAGAAAGCATACTATTAGGGCCCCTGTCACCCTCCCAGGGACACCATTACAGTGTCAAGTCTTGGGGAGGCCAGCATGCCGTGTGGTTCTCGTCTTCCAGGATGGACTTCCCCAGCTCCCTGCGCCCCACGCTGTTTACGAGTGGCCCCCTGGGTCTGAGCAACGTCCCCGACCTGTCCTTCATGTGCAGCTGGAGAGACGCGCTGACTCTGCCGGAGGACCTGCCCCAGAGCGCCGAGGTGAGGATGGCAGGGAGGCGCCCTGGCAGCTCCAGGGCAGCCCCTTCACTTGGTTCCTCTTCTGTGGCCCTCACCCCGACTAGCCGGGGTACAGGGTGGGGTGGCATTAGCATAAACCAGCAAAGGCCCAGGCTGAGCCAGAATCCATTCCGCTGAGTGCAGGAGACACGCTGGCAGTCCACGCGGGCTCGCTCAGTGGGAGCTGCTGGCTTGCTCGTCCCGGGCTCACTCTCCACGGTCGTCCATCCTTCACTTGTTCCACTGGTGCTGCCTGACTGCCTCCTGCGATGTGCCAGGTTCCTTCGTGCTTTGGTTCTCTGGTGCCGCCCTAACAGAAACTCCACAAGTGCTGACTTTAACAAACAGGGGTTTAGTCTCCTACGTTCAGGAGGCTAGAAGTCGCAGTTCACAGTGCCAGCTCTAGGGGCCAGGAGAAGGCTCCTCGACCAGCCCCCTGGAGCTGGTGGCATCTCTTAACATAAGCAGCTACTGGCTGCTGAGGCTGACAAAGCCAAGGTCGACAAGTGTAATGGCACAGTCCTTAAGATTATCAAACAACACAGCAGGCCACTAATTCAAGTGCAGGAATAGTCGTAAGGTCAGTGGGAAACGTGGCAGGCTGCTGAATGAAGCCCGGGCTAAATGTAGGATCCCTGTGCCAAAAAGCTCAGCCCTTTTTCAAAGCTGTTTCTTACACAGTGAAAGCAGACCACATCCCTAAGGCAGCTACTCAGCTGTTCACAGCAGGTTCCACCATGGAGTTGATTCCCAGTCTCATCATGGGGAATCACTGCATCTAGCTGCCCAGCCACTCAACCAGGCCCAGCCAAGGTGGCACGTAACCTTAACTCCTACACTTGGTAAGCGTTGGGAGTACTCATGGTTGGCCAAGTAGAGGACTGTGAAAATGAGAGGAACCCTCAGTGAGATGGACTGACACAACAGCCACGTGATCATGAAGATAGCTCCGGACCGTTGCACCCACGGCTGCTAGGAGTCAGGGCCCACGTGGCGGTGACTAACAGTAGCAGTCAGTATGACCCCTGTCCTCGTGGAACTTGGAGTTGCATTCAGGGGAATAAACAAGCCAGTGAACAGACTGATGGATCAAACGATGACAAACGGTGGGGACAGCCTTGAGTGAAACCAGAAGCATGCTGGGACGGCGTTGTGAGGATGAGACTGGGGAAGGATAGGACTTGGGGTGGTGTCCCAGGGAAGGATGCTGGCTCTTCTTTGGAATCAAGCCAACTGGCTGCCACTTGGAGAATAAGCCAGGCAAGTGGGTCAGAAAATGGAGAGATGTGGCCAGGGAGTCAAGGATGTTGTTAGTTACCTCCTTGGCAAGGAAGGTTTGACATCAAATTAACACCCCTCCGGGAGGCTCCCTGGCCAGCCCTTCTGTCCCCTGAGTGTTTGAACTGAGCCCTTCCCCAGCCCGGCAGGGGAAGGGTCATGTGGCCCATCAGGCCCCAGAGTCAGCAACTGTGAGGTCTCCAGAGTGGAAGGAGAATCGAGTGGGATTTGGCTCAGCAGCTGTGGTGGTGGTAGTGTGGCTCAGAGGGGCCAGCACAGCCCCGGTGGCAGCCTGCAGGGCTCAGGGCGCAGCTCTTCACTTCAGTAGGACGACAGTTACAGCCGCGCCTGCTCCGCAGGGTTGGCGAGGGGGAAACAGCCCTCGTGGCCCATGGGCTGTAGAGCGCCCCCTACATTTTTCTCCTCTGGGTGGGGTTTATTGGGCAGTGCTTTCCCACAGACGATACCTGCAGCCCTCAGGAGGGGACCTGCGTAACTGTTTGAAACAGAATAAACGAGTTATGTGCCAAAAATTACTGATTTTACAGGGTATTATATGAGGTGGTGCATCCTGAAGGGGCATAAGTGTCCCACCAACCTGTAACAGAGTCCACAGGGAAATATGTGTCCCATAGGCCAAGCCATCCCAGTAGCCTACCCCTCAGAGTCCATAGGGACAGATGCATCCCACCAACCCTATGTGCAGAAGTCAGGAGTCCAGAGGGACATACATGCCCCACCAGTCTTACCCTAGAGGCCAGAAGGACACAGTCAATTCAGACACCCTCAGTGATTCAGCATGCATTCCACTGACGGAAAAACATCTTATCAACAAAGAATGTAAAGTGAAAACTTTGTCATGAGTTGTGGACATAAAATGCTCACTCCAGTGCCTGCCCCAGGGCAGTGCCCCACGGCATATCACCCTGGTTTGTTCTCCAGAACGTGGCACCACACTTGGCCAGGGACCTGCGATGGGAGCCAGAGACACCTGGGCCCTACCCCCTGCTGCCCCCCAATCCTGGTAAGGGGTCCACTCCTCTGCCCTATCCCTGAGGCCTCCTCTTCCTGCTGATACCTCCTGTTCCCCACCTCTAGTCACCTGTGACACCTGGCTCCATCCCTGCCCCACCCCAGTCCCCGCAACACACCCCTTCCCTAACCTCTCCCCTCAGCTCCCTGGGACCCTGGGCTGACGGCCCAGGACCTGCTTTTCCGGGGTGGCCACCACTTCTGCAAACGGCCCCGTGCCACGCTGGATGTCACTGAGCAGGTGAGGGGTCCCACCTGGGCCATGTGGTGTGGCCTGGAGGCCATGCTTAGTGACCTGGCTGTGCTCCTGACCTTAGTGAAACCCTCTCCTAGCTCAGCCATTTCCTGTGGCATCACGGGGACATTGCCTTTGGGCCCCTGGGGAACCTGATGCAGGAGAATTTCAAATTGGAAGGCGCACGGGTGAGTAGGCCCTGGCTGCCCAGGAGGGGATGCCCTGTGGAGGGGTTGAGCCTTAGGGGGTGAGCTTGATGAGGCCTTTCCACACAGAGCCGTTCTAAGAAGAAGACAGTGGTCAGTGTGAAGAGCCTGCTCCAGGACCTCGGTGGACACCAGCCCTGGGGGCAAGTGGCTAGTCAGAGAGGGTAGGGTGGGCGGGCCTGGCTGGTGGTGCACACGTGGAGGGAGCTGGAAGGCAGGTCCACGGTCCGTCATTGTTGATTCACCTCCTCATGGGGACAGTAAGCCATACTTCCTGCACACAACTCCCAGCTTCAGCTAACTTAAGGGGAAAGGAAATTTATGGGCTCGTGTAAATCACGAACTTCAGGCATGGCTGCATCTGGGTGTTCAAATAATGTTACTAGGGCTCAGTCTCTTTGTATCTTCTGATCCACTTGCTTTGGCCTGGCTTAATCCTCCGCAACTGGCAGCAGGATGGCTTTTAATCCCACGGAAAGTGCCAGTGTCTTTCCTTCATGTTAGCAGATGTCCCAGGGAGGACTCTTAATTGGCTTAGCCTGGTCTCGTGCCCATCTGTAAGGCAGCACTGTGGCCAAGGGCACTGGAGTACCCTGAGTAGCTAGGTCTGTGTCATGTGACTGTCCCTGGGCCCTGCACTGACCTCCCTGTGCCCGGTCCCCCTCCACCATCACCACCAGAGCCTGACCTTCCTGTGGTCCTCTCATCCCCAGGTGTCCCTGGGCATCCCTCAGCCACCGGCAGCGCCGGTTCTCCATCCTTGGTGGCCCGGTCTTGGCCAAGTCTGTGGCCAGCCTCCTGGGGGAACTGCTGCAGGAGGAGCTGGCAGGGCGCTGGGGGCAGCTGCTCCTGAATGACACTGTCACTGGGGGTGCCCTGGCTTGGCTGCCTGGGAAGACGTCCCTGGCTGGGCAGCTGGTCTACCCCACTGGAGGTGCCCTGGACAAGTTGTGTATCCTCTCTGGCTGGGAACCCACCACCACCTTCAGGGGAAGGGAAAGGTGGGGAGCTGGGGGTTTGCAGTGACTGGAGCTCACACGCTGATCCTTAGCGGGATACGCAGGTTTCCAAGAGATCAGTCTGACCCCTGGCAGTGACCCCCAGGTCCTTGGGGACCCTGGCCACATCCAGCTCCGAGGACCTGTCCGGCAGGTGGTGAGCCGCACTGTCCAGGGAGAAGGTAAGGCCCGTGGGTACTCCCCTCACCGACCCGCTGGCGGAGCCCTGACTCCCTCCGTGCCCTTCTCAGCTCTGCTTGCAGTCCGCTCCGACTACCACTGTGCCATGTGGAAGGTCAGTAAACAGGGGCGGCCGGCCCCACTTCAGGTGCTGCAGGTGGAGAAGGGAGCCACAGGGATCAGTCTCAGGTGAGGGAGAGTTGGGATGGTCAGCCAGCTGGGGAGCTGTGGAGGGCGGTGACGTGTCAGTGAAGCCCTTCCCTGCAGCCCTCACCTGCCCGGGGAGCTGGCCGTCTGCAGCCGTTCTGGAGCCGTCTGTCTGTGGACCCCCCAGGATGGGTAATGGCTCTCCTGCCCCGCCCCGTAAAGATCCTCTACCCCAACCAACAGGCACCTTGCTCCTTGGGCCCAAGACCCCGCCTCCCCATCCTCAGCCATCTCCTGCCCTGGCTTTCTCACACCCACACTGCTCCACAGGCTGCAGCGCGTCTACAAGGATCCCAAGACCCTTGTGTTCCGGGACCCCTCTCCCTGGCGTTGGGCAGACTTCACCGCCCACCCCCGGGTGCTGACTGTGGGTGATCGCACTGGAGTGAAAATGATAGACACGCAGGTGGGGAGGGCTGATGGGGTAGGGCACAGACCACCCCCCAGGGCACAAAACCAGCACAGAGCGGGTGGAGGGGGTGAGGATGGGGCAGGTGCACAGGGGTGACGAGGTCACAGTCTTCTGACTTTGGGGGGATGCTGACCCTTTGGTTCTTTCCCAGGGCCCCCCAGGCTGTGGTCTGCTGCTTTTCCGTGGGGGAGCAGAGGCCTCATGCCAGAAAGGGGAACGTGTCCTGCTTGCCCAGTACTTGGGGAAGTCCAGCCCCACATCTCTGAATCCCAGTCTCCATCTCATCTGTACTCAGGTGAGGGCCCCCTACTCCTCATTTCAGATGTTCACTGAGGCTTGCTGGTTACCAGGGCCCCCTCTGGTCCTCAGGTCAACCGCAGGCTCAGCAGGAATCAGACACCTGGCATCTGTCTACACTGACCAGGCCCTAAATACTGCAGGCCGGGCTGTGGCAGGTCATGAAAGGCCTCCCGGCAGGGGGTGGGGGCTGGGGAGTGTTTTAGATGTGAGTGGGGTCACAGGTGAGGGGCGGAAAGACCTGCCAGTGGGGAGCAGGGCTCTCCCGGCAAGTTGAGGATCAGGGGCCATCTGTGAGGGGCTGCCCTCCCTGGGCCCAGGGTGCTGACAGGTATCTCAAGCCCACGTTCAGGGCCAGGTGAGTTTGGGGAAGGCAGGTAAAGTCGGTGGGCTTCTGTGGAGTGAGACTCCACCACATGTTCCCTAAGGGTCTGGCAGGATCTGAGGTAGCCATGTCTGCCTCCTGGGTCAGGAGTGGGCAGGTGAGGTTGGCGAGGTGGTCGAGGCAGGTAGCTGCTGCACTGCCCTTGGAGGAGTTTGCGTCCTGAGAACCATGTCGGACCCTCAGAAAGGGTTCCGAAGGGAGAAGCTTCTCATAGACAGGCTCCAAGTCTCAGTCGCTGCCCCCATCTCCTTCTCCTGGGCTGCAGTTCTCACTGTATCTGGTGGACGAGCGCCTCCCCTTGGTGCCCATGCTGAAGTGGGCCCACGGCCTGCCCTCTGCACCCCTGCTGGCCCAGCTGCTGCCTGCGCCCTGCCCCAGCGCCCCTCAGCCCCTGCTTGTGGCAGGCCATGGCGGCCAGCTGCAACTGCTGCATCTCTCAGGTGAGGTCCAGGCACTGCTGGAGGGCAGGGAAGGTGGGTGGGTGTCGCCGGCCGCAGTCAGCCCGAGCTGTCTTATCTGTCCTCCAGGAGAGGGGGTCTCCGCGCCCCGCCTGGCAGGGCCCCCGCAGTCCCTCCCAGTGAGGATGGATGCCCTCTCTGGCTTCCCTCTGCTGGAACCCACGAGTCAGAGGCAGCTGCAGGAGCGGCTGAGCGCGCCAACCCTAGGTGTGTGGCCGGGTGGGCAGGGCCGGTGCAGACGCACCTCTGCCAGGCCTGGAAGGTGACGTCCCTGCACCCGCAGGTCTGACAGCCTCCGTCCTGCCCTCGGCCTGCACGCCAGGCCTGGCTCTCTTCCACCTCTCTGCGGCCGGAGACGTGTTCTACCAGCACCTGCGCCTCCAGGAGTGCTCCGGCTGCTGCAGGAACACGCAGCCTCCCAGAGACCCCGGCCCGGAGTCCCATGCCCCCGTGGGGGCAGCGCCAAGTCCGGGCAGGACACCCACTCCTGCCGTGGCTTCCTGGACCCCCCAGGCCACAGCTTGCTGCAGCCGGTGGCTGAAGGCCCTGCTCAAGGTGCCCCAGCCACCCCCTCTGTGGACAGCACCCACTTTTTCCCACCGCCACCTTCTGGGCTACAAGCAGCAGCCTGGGGATGAGGGCAGAGTGCCGGCGGGACTGCGGGCAGCCATGGGCCGGGGGCGGCTCCTGCGGCAGCAGGACCTGGGCTCGCTCCCCACGGCAGAGCCGCCCCCGGCCCCCGAGTCTGGCCCGGAGGATGAGCTCAGTGAGCGGCTGAGCGAAGCCTGGGAGGGCCGGGGGGCGGCCTGGTGGGAGAGGCGGCAGGGCGGGAGCGCGGGGCCGGGGCGCCAGGTGAGGCGGCACAAGCGTCGCACCCAGCTCTCCAGCACCTTCTCCTCGCTCAGCGGCCGCTGGGACCTCTCCGACGGCCCCAGCCCCCCTCCCAGCCCAGATCACCTGTCCCTGGAGCCCCGGCCCCGGCCCCGGCCTCCAGCCACACCACTCTCCCAGGAGCTGTGGGCCCGCAGTGTGCCTCTAGAGCGGCAGCAGACACTGAGGGACTACATGGCCAAGCTGCCACCTGCCTGCCCCACGGCCGCCTCTGCAACCCCCTCCCAGGCCTCCAGCATCCGGAGCACCCCCTCCAGACGGCAGGCCCCCCGCAAGAAGTCCCGCATGGGCTTCTGAGGGCGCAGGGCTGCGACTGGGGCAGCTGAGCCAGGACGAGGTGTCCCAGGCGGAAGGCACCACTCTGGCCGTCTTCACCTTCCGCATTTCACGGTTAGAGGAAGGCAGCGGACGTAACAAGATCGTCCGTTCTTCTGTCATTTACACATTCACCTGAAGGGCACTCCACAGGGCGTGCTGAAGTCCCCAGGTCAGGGTCTGCGTGGGGACCCTTCTGGGACAGCGGTGCTGTGGTGAAGCGGGACTTGGCGGTCTGTGCAGCTCCAGCATGAACTGGCTGGGCCTCAGCCGAGTGACTGACCTCTCCGTGCCTCAGTGTCCCCGTGTGTGAAATTGGGGTGACAGCCGTGCTACCTCACAGTGAAATGACCACTGACAAGCTAAACACCAGCAGCTGCGCCGGTGTGCTTTCAGTCTGTTACACAGTCTACCATGGTCACGTCCTCAGGGGCAGAAGCTTTGGGCCTAGGCTTGGGGATGGAATGACCTTGGCAGTTTCCTAGACCCCACAGCACTGGGAACGTGGACATGGTTCCCGACGCTTTGTGATGAGACTCTGGCTCTCCTGAAAGATGCTGCTGTCCCATGGGGAGACCCCCTCGGAACTTCCCGCACCAGGCTCTTACCTATATTTCTAATCATACTGAGAGAAGTGGTCTATCCTCAGGGCAGCTGATGAAATAAAAGGAATTACCTGGTTGTTGTGTGGATATTAAATAGTTCAGGGTGACATGGATATTAAACTGTTTATAACGCTCAAAGGAGACACTGTTACAGCAGTACAGTTGACATAGCAAATAACGGAGGGTTTGCTTTCAGAATCAGGAACGTGCCTCTGGTCTGCATGTGCAAGGCTGAGGCTGGAAACGGACCGTGTGACTTCAGTGGCCACAGTAAAGGGCCTGTGGTTCCCAGCAGTAGCAGCATCTGGACAAAGGGAGTGAGCTGAGTGGCAGGCTGCACCTGCTGGGGTTAGGCCTTGGGGGCTCTTGCTAGTGCAGGGACAGAGGGGGCCACGTTGGGGTTCAATCCAGCCCAAATTCAGTGTCCTCGTGGTCGTCTCCATTGCTGGGCTCTGGGGGCCCGAGCCATGTTTTGTCCTCTCTGGCACAGTCTCCTAGAGTTAAACACATGGGCAGCATTTGTGGGTGGTGTGGGCAGATCAGAGTCGACCACACACGGTCTTGTAACAAACAAAACCTGGGTGCAGATCAGCACTCAGTAAGAGTCGTCATCTGGACCTAACACTCGGTTTATAGGCCCACACTCCCTCATTTGGACATCTGTAAAGGCCCCAGTTTGTTTTCTAAGCACCAGCCAGTTTCCCCCTAATCCACCGTCCTGGAGTCCATCCACTTCCAGCACCAGGTGAGGCCTGTTAGGTTGTGGTAGCTGCATCTGCCCACTCAGCCTGGAGACCTGGACACTGTCCCCGACTGTCGCAACTACTTCAGCCTGAGGCCTGGAACTTCACACTGAGGGACCCACACTCTCAGGCCAGCTCTACCCTCCTGTCACTGGTCCCCTCTGTCCCCTAGAAGCCTTGGTCTGCATGGCTCAGAGGTGGCAGGAGTGGGGGAACTGCAGGTTCCTTAGCCCCTAGATCTGCTGGACCCTGATGCAGAAAGCTGATGGGCAGCAAGTGCCCAATGACCTGGTGCATGGCCACACTCACCCACCCAGAACTACCCAGGCAGCACCTGTGGGTGGTGTAGTCATACATGGTGCAGCTTAGCAGAGCTATAAACTTAGGGCATGATCCGTGATCCTCCTGAACTGCAATGAGTGGTCCTCCAAGAACATGGGGTGCTTGGGGCAAAGGCTCAGGCACCAGCTCCCCTCTGGGCTTGGGTGTTAGGTGGTTCATCTCTGCACAGAGCCATCCACTATCACCTTGAGCAGGGTAGCGTTACCTGGTGGAGAGGCTGGAGACATGGTGCTGTCCCCAGCACTGGCAAGGCCTGGCCTGGCATCTGTCTCGTAGATCAAAGCCGGTGGCAGCTGGTCTACAGGCATGTCACTGAGTTCCTGGATCAGTGGTCGGGAGGACTCCGTGTCCTTACTTTGGACATCCGAGTCCCTCTCTGCTTCTAGTTTAAATATGTCCATGAAGGGGATCTCATGCTTCTTGAGGGTGTCTCTAGGAGTTGCGAATATATTTGAGAGGGTGTCTGCAGGTGCGCTTTCCAACACCGGGAGTGTCGCACAGTCTCCTTCTGGGTCACTGTTGTCGCTCAAGCTGGGAAGTGTTTCAATCTTTGGGAAGCATGTGTTCTATGAAAAGACAAGACAGTGGAACCTTTCTGCTTTCACAGTTGAGTCGGCCCACGTTGCTTTTTTTGCATTAGGCAAATTCTGCTTTCTAATCTAAAATCACAAAGTATTCTGTTGCCATATACAAGAACGACCCAAGAGAATGTGCAGCTCTCCACTTGCCAAGCTGGGTCTCAGGATGGACACCCCTCGGCTGGTTGCATCTGAGGCCAAAGGTCATCATAACCTGTACAACCCAAATCCGCAGCCTTCTGCAAGCCAACACCCGCCCTCCATGGGTCTCCACAGCTGCATGCTTGTCCCACTGCCAGGCAACACGCACAAGCAACAGGCCAGCCTGGCACACCCCTGGCCCCAGCCACCTGGTGGCACACTCATCAAAACCACTGTAGGCCTTGGCTCCCTGGGGTCTGTGTGTGTCTCTCTGTCCTCTGTTCCAAGGTGCACTGATGGGCAGGAATGTCTTCTGCTTCCTTCTCTGTCAGTAATGCCCAGGGGAGGGAGGGTCACCCTGGGAGAAGCCCCCACTGTGCCTCACCCATTCTCCTTCCACATTACTGTTCATACAGATGTTCACAGTGCAGACATCAAAACACGTAAGGACAGAAAAGTACACCGGGTAACTGCACAGTATACAGGGGCTACCACCTCGTAAGACTCAAGCTCAGGAAACCCTAGCAGGTCACCATGGAGCCTCACAGGAGAAACAAAAGCAGCGCCCCCCCCCCCCGTTCCCTGCTGAGGTGTACACAAGGTGGGTGGACATGGAGCTTTGCTCATGAAGAGCACGTCACTTGAGGTAAATGTGACTGTGGTGAGAAGGGAAGGGCACTGTTGTGGGGAAAGCATCCTGGTCACCTTGTCCTCGTCGCCGAGAAGTTCACAGGCATCGACATCCTCCAGGTCTGGTAGGTCCTGAAAGAGCAAAGGCCAAGTCACCTGTCACCAGGTGCGTGCAGGTAGAGCTCCAACAGGCATCATAAATCCAGTCGCACCTCCAAGTCTATGTGGGCAGAGTGAGGAGGGAAATGAAAGGGAGCCAGGGCCCGTCTCAGCCCACAGCTGCCGCTGCCCCTCAAAAGCCCCATACCCAAGACATGCTGTTACTCCAGTATCTGCAGCCAACAAATCTAAGTGAGGTTTGTCCCAGAGGACACGTGGGAGAAATTCCCAAATGTTTTCTCCACTTCACTTTGCTGTCATGGACACAGGCCGTTTAATGGGGGTGGGGTGGGAGGGGTGTAAACCAAACCTCCTTTTCCTCTGTATAAATCAGTCCTAGGACTCTAGTATAATGCATTTTGGACCTCCCCAAAGTGTGGGGCTTGTGTTTGTGTGTGTGTGTAATTTTTTTGGAGTGGTGGGGGTTTATCTTTGTCTCTGTACCAGTATGGCATGTGGGAGAAGCGGTGCCGTTCCCACACTGCACTTCCAGCCCCGTTGCCAAGTACTGGGCAAACAGACTGCCTGGCTTTCCTGGCTGTGTGACGCTGGGCAAGTTCCTTAACCTCTCTGTGCCTCCAGCCCCTCGTGTGTAAATGGAGAGGCCCCAGGTGGTGCAGTCCATTAATGTACTTGGTTACTAACTGAAAGCTTGGAGGCTCCAGTCCACCCAGAGCCCTGGCAATCGACTTGCACAAAGTCAGCCACTGAGAACCTACAGTGCATGGTTCTGCTCAGACACACGGGGTGGGGTCGACTCGGGGTCAACTAGACAGTAACTGGGTTGGTTTTAAAATGGGGACTCTACTAGCACACCTCTTAGAGTTACTGCTTCAGTCAATTAATACATGTTCAGAATAGTGCTAGGTACACAGCTAAAAAGCACTAGCTGTTACCTTGGTTCTGTACGCAGCTTTCAAATGTTAGCAGTGGTAACTGTCGGGGTTTGTTTCCTGTGTTCCAAGAACCGTTTGAACCACCACAACCCTGGAGCCCTTCTGTCAGCACTGATCCTGCTCAGCGTCACTTGTGTTGGGCCAGTGAAATTCTGTCGTTTAGGCATTTAGAAAAGAAACGCTAGCTTAGAAGGGCACTCGGGCATGGGCGGGGTACACAAAGCTGGAGCAGTGGTGGGCTGGGAGCGTCACGTCACGGTCATGTCAGCTGATGGGTGGCCGGCTGTCCAAAGGGGCACTGAGAGGCTCTGGGGATGCGCTGTGATTTTTCCCACAATTTGGGGGAAGGTGAACTGGACAGAAGTGCTCTGCAGTGTAACCTCTTTGGGGAAACCAGCCAAGAGTCCCCAGACGTGTTACGGATTGGACTGTGTCCCCCAAGACTGTGTGCTGTCAGTCCTAACCTCGACACCCGTGGTTAGAATCCCATTGGGAACAGGCTGTCTATTCGTCAGTGTGGCACGGTTCGTGTAGGGCCTATCTGGACTCAGTCTCTCTCGAGGCAAAAGGTGGGATAAGAGAGCTGCGGCCGAGCCAGGGGCAGAAGCTCCCCCGGCGTCGGCACAGAGAATGCCCTCCGAGAGCCGTATCCTCAAGTCAGATTTCTAGTCTCCTCGACGGTGAGAGAGCCGACCTCTGCTTGTTAGAGGCACCGCATGGGTACTTTGGTTGGAGCAGCTCTAGAGAACCAAGGCAACGGCGGGGCTGGAAGGGAAGCAGGCCGGAACGACCTGAACTCCAATGTGCATTTGAGGCCCGGGGGAATCTCACTGTGTGCAGACTGGGATCAGTGGGTCTGGGGCGGGCCTGGGATCTTGCGTTGCCACCAGCGCCAGGTGGCACCGTGCCCAATGCTGGGTAGTGGGGAGCTGATGATCTGTCTCTGGTCATCTGTTACTATTCCCACTGCAACTGCTTTACGTACATCAATGCAGAGCTTGTCCTTGGCCTCCAGTTCCACGGTTTCTATATCCTCGGCTCTCTCAAGTTCTGAACCAAATACCCGTTCAGCAGCCATCACGTGGGGAGTCGTGTCTAAGGAACCAAATAACGAAAGGTCGTTAGGTGTGGAGCCTTTTAGGGACGAAGGTCCAGTGGGCAAGCCAATGTGAAGATGGGTTCCACAGGCAGAGGGACAGAATCCTGAGGGGATCACAAGGCTGCCCTATGACAGAAGCCGCAGGAACCCACAGCTTAGGACAGGTTATATCCACTGAGACACGGAAGGAAAGAGCTGCCTCCTTTCCAAACTTGGGACACGAGGCTGGTGACATGGAAGGACCAGCCAGTGATCAGAATAATCAGTGACCTTGGAGAAGGCACTATGGTGGATGAGTAAGGTGCTAGAGAAGGTGGTGCTGCAATGACAGAGGTGGGAGACCGAGGCTGGAGGTCGTTTCCCAGGCCTTGCCTGGGGAGAGGGTAAGCCCACAGACCTGACCTGCCTGTCTCTTGGTCCACGCACACACCCCTGTGGCCTCCACACATGGGCCAGGGCCCAGGGCCACCTGTCATTGATCACCAGGTTGCCTGGGGAAGATGCAAACAGGCCAGGCCTCTGTTTCCTCCTCCCCAAGGCTATACCCTTGGTCCTCTCTCGGCTGTCTCTCCAGAGCATGGCTTCACTTACTGTGTCTGGGTTAAGGGCCCCACTCTGCTCCCTGTCTATGGTGCCAAGCCCCAGCAACCCACCCTGAGCAGTGCCTGAGCCTAGTCTGACTCTGAGAGCCACATCCAGGGGCCAGCTTAGAGCGAGGCAAGGACACAGGCAGAGGATGTCCATGGTCACTGTGTGTGGACAACCAACCTCCAAGGCCAGTTGCCATCTCTTCTCCACTTGGATGTCCCAGGGCTTCTCAGATTGGATAATTCTTCAGTTCTCAACGTGATGGCCCTCTGCTGCCCTCTGAAACAGCTCTTCACCCTGCAGCCCCATCCTGGTCTGGGCCAAACTAACTAAACTCCCCAAACAGCTCAAACCTTGCTCAGGTGAGGCCCACAGTGTCCCCATCTCCCACAGCCCTACGGACTGAGAATGCCCCAGGTCTGGTCACCACCACCACAGTGGGGACAGGGACCTGGGCAGTCCTGGGCTTACCTTCAGTTGGCAGGCCCCAGGGAGCTTGGTAGACCCTGTCAAGGGAGTCCCCCTGCTCTAGATCTGCACTGTCCACTACAGGAGACATGAGCCACGAGGGCTCGAAATGTGGCCAGTGTGCTCAAGGAGCTGAATTCTCAATTTCATTTCACTGTACTTGTTTCAAACCCACCAGCTGCTGCATGGAAGAAAAGACTTGGCATTCTGCTCCCATCAAGATTTAAAACAGGGCCACGCCCAATGCCATCAAGTCAATTCTGACTCACAGGGACCCTATAGGACAGAGTAGAACTGCCTCATGGGGTTTCCAAGGCTGTAACTCTTTATGGAAGCAGACTGTCTCATATTTCTCAGATGGAGTGGCAGTGAGTTCAGACCACCGACCTTTGGGTTAGCAGCTGAGCTCTTAGCTGCTGGGACACCAGGGCTGCAGTGGACATGCACGGCCCCCTGTATATTTCTCTTGGAGACCATGGATGGTGCAACTGCTTAATGTGCTCAGCTGCGAACCAACAGGCTGGAGGTTTGACTACCCATAGGGGCCTGCAGAGCCGCTTGGAAACCCAGCCACGGGAAGCCCCGCGGAGCCCAGTTCTGCGCTGACGCGTGGGCTGCCATGAGTCAGCCGGTGCCATTGCTTCTGTTTCTCTGGGACAGCTGCTCTGTGTGATGAGATCACTCAGATGCTTGGTCCCGTGAGAGCAGTGAGAGAGGACTGAAAACCAGACACCACACATCATCACCAGTGCAGTCATGGGCGTGGGGCCCTGCACTTGCCCTCACCATCCTCTGTAGCCCCCAGAGCTGGGGCCGGAGCACTGGCAGGGAGCACCCCCCCCCCCCGGCTCCTGACGCTCACACTCCCCGCCTTCCTCTGCATGTGGCCATCTCTTTCCACTGGACTCTTCTGGGAAGAGCTCGTCCTTCGCCTCGAAGCTCTCCTTAATGAACGTCTCCATTTTCTGCTGCATTTCTTGGTCTGCAGGAAGCACTTTCTTTCCTTCCTCCTCTGCACCCACTTCCTTGTTGTCATTTGGCAGCAGGGTCTCCCCTAAATGAGAGAAGTCAAAGGGTGAAGTCTGAACCAGGAGCAAGCGGTCTACGTGTCTGCCAGGGGCCCACGGGGAAGGTCTGAGGGGCAGGGGGTCTGCATGTCTACCAGGGGCCCATCAGGAAGGTCTGAGGAACGTTCCAGGAAAGCAGCCAGGGTGCAGTTACAGGAACATCTACAAGGATGCTTATCAGAGTGCTGCTTACATTGTCCAGTGACTGGAGCTCACTACCCACAAGAGGGGCTGTTGAGCACGCCCACTGAGAGGACCAGGATGGAGGTATTAGGAATATGTAAAGTTGCTAGGGGAGGTACCCTGGAGTACATAGGAGTGAAGGACCACGGTGTATAATGTCACTCTCAAATGGTTCATCAGGTAAAAAGTAAAGTGTGCTTTTGCATGTGTGTGTATGTGTAACAGATGTGTGGCAAATGGCAAACCATAAGCCATGGAATGCGGGCACCTCTAGAGGCTGGAAAAAGTAAAAGCACAGGTTCTTCCCCAACCCGCCAGCAGAAGCCGGTGCTGCCCACCCCTGACGGTAGCCCCTCAGGACCCATTTGGGACTTCTGACCTCCACAACTACAAGATGACAAACTTAGTATAGTAATTGTTATGGCAGCCATAGAAAACAAACAATCATTTATTTTGAAAAAACTGAGACTATTTTAACAAACTGTGTTTTAATTAGTGTCATGAAACTGCCCACAATTGCTGGGCTTTTTCACGGTGCCTGGCAGGTGAGTGAGACCAACTGCAGATGGATTGCAGGTAAAAGTGTATAAACAATTGAAAAGGAAAAAAAAAAAAAATCCCATAGATTAGAGCCCAGGAGTTTCCTTGCCGGGATTCCCCAAACTCAAGGGAGGACGTGGTTAGAGCACACCTTTCTCTTGGGCTTCTCTCTGCCGTCTGCGCTCCGCAGCCCGCTGCTTGATCCGCGCCAAGGCTTCGATGCTGTCCGCAATCCTCTTCTGCTCTCTGCTCTCCCACAGCTGTCTCTCCTCTTTCTCAGCTGCGTACCCTCCTCGCGCCCAGGCCTCTGCACAGGCTCTGTTGTAAGGAAGCAGAGGTTTGACTTGGCAAAGGCTAGCAATAAATTCCAAACCTTTGCTATCTGACCAAGCTTGTTAGTTTCCTCAGAATCAAATAAAGAGCACACAGGCTCTGAGACTGCAAGGTCTACAGTTAACATGCGTACCTGCTAGCCTTTAAGAAGTCAAGTGGTTTTCAAAGCCACCTTAGGTAGGCTACCAACAGCACCAGTGGCAGAAGAAAAAACAGATCATTCGGCCTTCGTCAGAATCCAACCCTTTTGTTCTTCAGAGGGCATCCTCAAGAAAGTGAACACAGCCACAGGATGGGAGAAGACCTTGTTGTTGTTGTTGTTATATGCCGTCGAGTCGGCCCCGACTCATAGTGACCCCTCCTTGGGTTTCCGAGGCAGTATCACTACGGAAGTAGGATTGCCCAACCTTCCTTCCAAGGAGTGGCTGCTGGGTTTGAACCGCCAGCCTTCTGGTTAGCAGTCAAGTGCTTTAGCCACTACGCTACCAGAGGAGAAGACATTAGAAAGCCTTATCTATAACAAGGACTTTTACCCGAAATATACAAAGAACTCATACAACTCAGTAACACAAAGAAAACACAACTCAAAAATCAGCAAAGGTTAACAGAATGAAAAGATGCCACAGACTGGGAGGAAAATGTTTACAAAACACCTATCAGATAAAGGACTTCTATCCAAAATATACAAAGAACTCCTAAAACTCAACAATAAGAAAACAAACAACCCAGTTAGAAAGTGGGCAAAAGATCAGAGTGGATGCCTCGCCAAAGAAGACGCACACGTGGCAGCTGGGCCTGCAGACAGACGCTCAGGGTGGCATGTCCTTAGGGAACTGCAGATGCAAACCACACGCTGCGTGCACACCTGTCTGACAGCTAAGACCCAAAGCACTGCCAGCATCCAAGGCTGGTGAGGGTGTGCAGCCAGCGGCGCAGCCCCATGGTGCCGCGCGGTCCAGACAGCTCAGGAGACAGTCTGGTGGCTTCTTAGGGCTAAATGGAGGCTTACTGGACGGCCCAGCAATCATGCTCCCATATGTTGACCCAAATGAGTTGAAAACTTCCATCCACACAAAAACCAACATACAAACGTTTACATACCAGCTTTATTTATAATTGACAAAAATGGGAAGCAACCAAGCTGGCCGTCAATACATAAATGTACATCTGTACAATGGAGGACTACCCAGCAGTCAGAAACAATGAGCTCCCGGGCCACGGCAAGGGACGGAAGAAGCCTAAACGCACGTAGTGCAGGACGCCAGTCTGCCAAAGGATGGAAGAAGCCTAAACGCATGTAGTGCAGGTGCTGATTCCAACCACAATACGTGACGCTAACGTTCCACCGCTTACACCCACGTATTTCTCGTGGTCCCATTAGGTCTCTTTTTTTTTTTTTTAAAGGTAGGGGGTGCTCTCCTGTTTATTAATAGTTTTAAAGTAATAGTAATAGTTTTAAAGACCCCAAACCCAGACTCTTGTAGCACGGGGTGGGGTACAGTAAGGTGAGGCAGAGGGCATGGTTCTGTGCCCGGGCTCTCAGACTGTCTGGAGGGCAGGCAGCCGGTCTGGGCTACTCCTGTTGCTCAGGTGGGGGTGGGGCAGGGAGCAGGCAGGGCACAGTTGTGCTGCTCTCAGTCCACTCCCACTCCCGCCCTCTCAGCCACCCCAGGCAGCTGCTGCCTGTGTCTCCCGCTCATGGGAGGGGAACAGCAGCCCCAGCAGGCAGACGGACGCTCTGCTCCCACCCCACCTGCCTCTTGTTCTCCTCCCACTGCCACCCTCTGGGCCGCCACTCCTGCTGCCTGTGCCTCTGGCCTCTGCCAGCAGCTCCTGCAGAAGCGGGTGCAGCAGAACGTTGTCCAACAGAAAGCGGCTCCCGTGAAGTGTAACGTGGTGTTCCCACAACGTCCAAATCACCTAACAGAACGTACCATGGCCATGAGGGAGCATCCCTGTGTATGCCATTCTGGAAAATGTCCTTTTACCTTAATGGTAGAAAGATGAAGCGTTGCCAGGAGTTTGGGGAGGTGGGGGAGGGAGGAATATGTGAAGTACAGGACATTTTCAGGGCAGTGCAATTATGCTATATGATCCTCTAATGGTGGACACGAGACATCATGCATTTGTCAAAACCCATACGACTGTCCAATGCCAAGACTGCACCTTGGTGTGAACTCTGGGTTTTAGTTAGTAATAATGAATCAGCATGGGTCCATTGATTGTAACAAATGTATCACAGGAATGTGAGATGTTAATAATAGCAGAAGCAGTGTGTAGGGTGGAGAAGGGATAAAAGGGGACGCTCTGGACCAGAAGTCTGGGGGTTCAAACCCACCAGCCACTCCTCGGAAGGAAGACTGGGCAATCTACTTCCATAGAGATACTACCTCAGAAACCCAAGGAAGGGTCACTTTGAAGTCAGATCCGACTCCAGGGTAGTGAGTTTGGGTTTTTTTTTTTTCCCCTGAACTTTTAGAAAACAATTTTTTGTAAACCTAGAACGGGTCTCAAAAATAGTCTATTAATTAAAAAAAAGGGGGGGGGGCGGAGCAAAGGATCTGCATTTACATTTCCCTAAAGGAGATACAGCAGCTCTGGTAGCGTAGTGCCTAAGGCACTTGACTGCTAACCAGAAAGCTGGCGGTTCAAACCCACCAGTCGCTCCTCGGAAGGAAGGTTGGGCAATCTACTTCTGTAGTGATACTGCCTCGGAAACCCAAGGAGGGGTCGCTGTGAGTTGGGGGCGACTCGACGGCACATAACAACAACAAAGGAGATATACAAATGGTCACTAAGCACATGAAAGAATGTTCCACATCATTAGACACCAGGGGAATGCAAGTCAAGACCATAATGAGTACGGCTTCAAACCCACCAGGAGGCTATCGTAAGAATGACAGACAATAACAAGTGGTGGCGAGGCTGTGGAGAAACTGGGACCCTCAAACGCCGCTGGTGGGAATGTCAGCTAGTCCAGGCATTTTGGAGAGCAGTTGGGCAATTCCCCAAATGAGTAAACACAGAGCTAGCATCTGACCCCGCAAGCAGTCCAGGTCAATGAGGTTTAATCCAAAGTCAGGATTCATAGCGACCTAAATTAAAGGCAGCCCACATCACTGGGTTTTTATTCAAACTTAGGATAAACAGTGACCTACATTAAAAGAAGTCCATGCTGCTGAGGTTTTATTCAAAGTTAGGATTAATAGTGACCTAAATGAAAAGGTAAACCAAAAACACAGATACACAGCAGTCCAATGGTCAATACTCCTAATACAAAAATGCTTGTACAGACCTATACGAAGAAAGCACTTCAGAAGGAAACTAGGCAGAAGCCATGAGCAGAATGTTCATTAAGGAAGAATATAAGTGGCCGGTAACGACAAAGGACGATGACCTCATCATTACCCCAAACTGCCAATTCCAAACAATAAGATACCATCTCCACCCACCGAGCAACGCGGCAAAGGTTCCCTTGTAATGGCTCTCTCTGGTGAGGTTAGAAACGGGTTCAAACCTTCTAGAAAATGAGTAGAAAATGCTTATAAGAGCTTCTGAAAATGATCAGACTACACTGTTTAACCCAGTCATACCACTCCTGGAATTCAACCCTAAGGAAAGCTGTGGTGTGATGAAAGGCTGAAAGAGGAGGACATTTGTGAAAAACCAGCTATAAAGTGGGGTCAGGAAGCAGGGCACTTCCTACCACAGACAATTACATAGCCTTCAAACTAGCTCCAAAGAACATCTGATCAAACCTGAAAACAGTAATTAGAAATGAGTGATATGAAGTGAGCTCAAACGTCAGGTGCTAAGACCTGATCAAAGGGCTCTTCTACTGCTTACCTGTCCTTGGGAAAAACAGGTCTGTCATCCAGGTATGTTAAGTGTTTTAGTTGAACAGTTACTGTCCTCCGATAATTAGGAATGTGCTTAATAACTGGGTTCCCCGTCAAGCTCAGTACACGCTGTAAGAAATAAGCCAAGCAGAGTTCATTACTAAAACATGCACTAAAATGATTAAAATACCTTATACGTCCTGTGCTCTGAGAATAAGTGAATAAAATAAATTTTCTGGAGCAAAAAGGAAGTATTGAATCCATGTCCCGGTGATTTCATCAGGGACATCAGGTGGTTCCCGTTTCTGTGCTGTGGGAAACGCCCTGAACACTGGCGGCCCCTCCTTCTCCTTCGACTCCAGATCCAAGGTCTTATTGTCCTTCCAGAACAAGATTGGAAACGTCTCCTGAGGCCTTTCCAACTGCAGTGATCGCATTAGTTTTGCTCACCAAATCTCTTTTACTGCAATTAATGTCTGAGGGTTTTCTTTCTTCTGCAGCTAGGAGCCATATTAAGAAAACATACCCAGCAGCTACACAGACAGAAACAGTGACTAAGGGGAAAAGGTGGGCAGTGCCCACTTAGCTCCACTGTCAGTGCCACTCAGGCAGAAGGCCTCTCTCCCAAGGCCCGCAGCTCTCCTTAAAGCTCTCCTTTAACACCAGGAACAGCAAAGGGATACGACCAAGTGGGGTGAACGCCAGTGTGCCTCCTGTGTACCTCTGCACCCCCACTGGCCTCTGCCTGTCTGCAGCAGTGGTGCTGGGAGGCAGCGTCCAGTCAGTTCCAGCTCATAGCAAGCCGATGTAAAGAGGATGAAACACTGCCCAGCCCGGCCCCAGCCTCACAGCCGTCACCATGCTTGAGCCCATGGTCCCAGCCACCGCGTCAGTCCCCTGGCCGAGTGCCTTCCTCTTTCTCACTGACCCTCTACTTCACCAAGTACGATGCCCTTCTCCGGGGACTGGTCCCTTCTGAAAACACGACTGAAGTACGAGACACGAAGTCTGGCCATCTTCTCTTCTAAGAAGCATTCTGGCTCTACTTCTGAGACCAATTTGTTTGTTCTTCTGGTATATTCAATATTCTTAGCCAACACCACAATTGAAAAGCATCACTTCTTCTTCAATCTTTCTTAATCCCTGTTCAGTTTTCACATGCTATGAGGTTACTGAAACACCATGGCTTGGGTCAGGCAGACCTCTGTCTTCAAAGTGACATCTTTGCTCTTTTACACATTAAAGTGGCCTTTTACAACAAATTTGCCTACTGCAATACGTCATTTGATTTCTTCATTACTTCCATGGGTGTAATTGTGGATCCACGTAAAATGAAATGCTTAATAACTTCAGTCTTTTCTCCATTATCATGATGTTGCTTACTGGTCCAGTTGTGAGGACTTTTGTTTTCTTCATGTTAAGGTGTAATCTCTAGTGAAGGCTAGTCTTTGATCTTCGGCAGTAAGTGCTTCAACTCCTTTTTACTTTCAGCAAGCAAAGTTGTGTCATCTGCCTATCAAAGGTTAGGAATGAGTCTTCCTCCAATCCTGATGCCATGTTCTTCTTCACATAGTTGAGCTTCTTGGACTCTGTAAACCAAACCAAACCCACTATCACTGAGTCAATTCCCACTGATAGCGACCACCATTGGGTTTCCAGGCCAGTAAATCTTTATGGAAGTAGATTGCCCCATCTGGTAGGTTTGAACCACCAACCTTCTGGTTAGCAGTCAAATGCTTTAGACACTGTGCCACCAGAGATCCTTGCTTGGACTCTGTCAGTAAAAAACAAAAACCAAACTCACTGCTGTCGGGTCGGATCCAATCCATAGCACCCCCTCCTTGCGTTTCTGAGGTGGTATCACTACAGAAGTAGATTGCCCAACCTTCCTTCCGAGGAGTGGCTAGTGGGTTTGAACCACCAGCCTTCTGGTTAGCAGTCACAAAGCCTTAGGCACTATGCTACCAGAGCTCCTGTAGTTCTCCTTAAATATTTATCACCTCCTCTCCTGTTCCAAGAAGCTCAAAGCAGGTGAACGGTTAAGAAGACAGGTGGGCAAATAGCTTTAAAGTCTGTTTTCCTAGAATGGCTTAGTATTTTTAATATCTAAAGTAGTTTTTGTCATTGGAGAAAATAAATATGTTCTGCACTAGTTAGTTTAGCATTTCCCAAGCTTCATTCGCCAGCACCACCATTTCTTCCTGTCTTTTGAGTGACCTGCCAAGGGCAGGGGGTAGGTGGTGGGAGCAGTATGCCCCTGGGACAGGCAATAAAGGGGGCATCTTGTGAGTAGAGATTTTAAAAGCAGTCACAAAACAACAGACTGCTTTCCGTCACTGTTATCATCGTAGCATTATCATTATCATTATTATTACGACTCCAGAGTGTCCCTCCGCAACCCCTCAGCCGCCCCTTCACCCTGCACGTCCTTGGGAGTCCCCGGGTGTTGCAAACAGGTAATGTATCCGCTGCTAAAAGAAAGGCAAGTCTAGAGGTTCCAGTCCAGCCAGAGACACCTCGGAAGAAAGGTCTGGCCATTTACTTTGAAAAAATCAGCCACTGGAAACCCCGTGGGGCACAGTCATATGGTGACAAGCGTGGGGCCACTGGGACTGGGCACTGACTTGGTGGCAGGTGGTGTCTGTCACAGATGCACACTGAGCTCCTTGTGTGTGATGACATGACATCTAACATTTCTCTTAGGATACTCCAGCTAAAAACACTAAGAGGAAAGAAGTGGGAAAGAAAAAGACAATGAAGGAAGGAGGGGAGAGAGAGATCTGATATTGAATAACATAAAGTTAGTGAGGTCATCATCCTCATTTTACCAAGTCGGGCACACTCTCCAGCACGCTCAGGATCTTTGGGTCGCTCAGCTTATTGTGGGAGAGGTCAAGGACGCAGAGTTTCATGCAGGCCTTCAGATGCTCAATGTCTTCCACGCTCTCCAGACAGTTGTGCGCTATCTGTAGTGTGTTCAGGACTGGAAGGCAGGCTGGAAGGTGAGGTCAGCAGAGGTCAGCAACCAAGGCGTGAAAACCATCCACCTATGGTATTCATTTCTAAAACCTCCCCCAGGGAAAAGGGACGGACTGTTGACAAGTCAATTCCAACTCCTAGTGACCCCACAGGACAAAGTAGAACTGCCCCTGAAGGCTTCCAAGGCTGTCAATCTTTGGGAAAGCAGACTCCCTCATCTCCCTCCTGTGGAGCAGTTGGTGGGTTTGAACCGCCAACCTTTCGGGTAGCAGCCAAATGCTTTAACCACTACTCCACCAAGGCTCCTTAGTGATGGACATAAGGGCTCATTAAAAGACCCCTCGCTGGACGTTGGTACCGAGGTTTTCAATAGTCTTGATGTAATTGTTGCTGAGGTTAAGAGCATCCAGTTTCTGCAGCGGCTCTAGGTTTTCGATTTTGTGAATCAAGTTCACTTGCAGGAAGAGGCACCGCAACTCAGTCTGGGCAGCCAGGTTCTCGATTTTCTGGATCCCGTTGCACTCCAGCCACAGACAGCGCAGTCCCGTGTATTCTTCCAAGTTCTCGATGCGGTCAAAGCCTGGGGACAAGGACAGGGCATCGGTTAGGCCCCAACATGCACACTGCACACACGGCCACCCTTGTTCTGGCGCAACGGTTAAAGTGCTAACCTGAAAGGTCAGTGGTTTGAACCTGCCAGTCACTCTGCGGGAGAGAGAGATGAGGCTGTCTGCTTCCATTAAGATTTAAAGCCTTGGAAACACTTGCCATTTGTTTAAGTCCTTCATGCCCCCGGTTAGCTTTATTCCTAGATATTTTATTCTCTTCACTGCTATTGTAAATGGAATTGTTTCCCTAATTTCCCTTTCAGATTTCTCCTTGCCGGTGGATAGAAACCCAACTTATTATTGTTTGCTGACCTTATACCCTGCAACTTTGCTAAATTCCTCTATTAGCTCCCAATGTTTCTTTGTGGTCTGTTTGGGATGTTCTGTGTATAGGATCATATCATCTGTGAATAATTTTATTCCTTCCTTTCCAGTCTACAGATCTTTTATTTCTTTTTATCTTATTGTTACGGCTTGGACTTCTACTGCAATACTGATTGGAAGTGGTAATAGTAGGCACCTTTGTCTTGTTCTAAATTTCAGCTGGAAAGCTCTCAGTCTTTCCCCATTGAGTATAGTATTGGCTATTGGCTTCTCATACACGCCCTGAATCACACAGTGGAATTTCCTTACTATTTCAACATTCTTCACTATTTTTATCAAGAAAGGGTGTTGGATTTGATCAAAGGCTCGTTTTTTTTTTTTTTTTTTTTGCATCCATAGAGACGATCACACGGTTCTTTTCCTTTGTTCTATTGATGTGGTGTGTTTTGCTGATTGAATTTCTAATGTTGAACCATCCCTGCATTCCTACAATAAATCCTGGTCGGTCATGGTATATGACTCTCTTAACAAAGCTGTTTTGATTCTTTTGCTAGTATTTTATTGAGAATTTTTGCATCTATATTCACATGTGATACTTGCCTGTAGTTTTTTATTCTTGTGGTGTCTTTGTCTGGTTTGGGTATCAGGGTTAAATTTGCTTCACAGAATGAATTAGGAACTATTCTTTCATTATCTTTTGGAAGAGTTTAAACAGTATTGGTGTGAATTCTTCTCAAATTTTTGGTAGAATTCCTCAGAGAAGCTATCTGGTCCAATGTACATGATACATATAACTCACTGCCGTCAAGTCGAATCCAACTCACAGCAACCCCTCCTTGTTTTTCTGAGGTGATATCACTACAGAAGTAGATTGCGCAACCTTCCTTCCAAGGAGTGGCTGGTGGGTTTGAACTGCCAGCCTTTTGGTTAGCAGTCAAATGCCTTAGGCACTACATCACATGTACATATGTGTGTGTGTGTGTATACCAAAAAAACCCAACTCAATGTCTTCAAGTCAATTCCAACTCATACCAACCCCTATTGGGTTTCCAAGGCAGTAAATCTTTATGGAAGTAGATTGCCCTGTCTTCCTTCCATGGAGCAGCTGGTGGGTCTGGACTACCAACCTCTGGTTAACAGTCAAACGCCTTAGGCACAGCACCACCAGAGCTCCACACACATACACACAGTTTTTGGTGAAACTGGACATGGCATGTTAGGTTCCCACTTCAAAATTTCCACACAAATTGTTCCATGATGTTACATTTCCCACAATGTGTCAACAACCTCTTTAATAGTGTTGTTTCCTTCCTTTCCAATTTCTAGGGAAATCCTAGTTACCCTGTCCCTTATCTAAGCATCTTAGCTTTTGAGAAATTGTTGACCTTTTGATCACACACTGTTGTTTTTTAAGTAGAGTTGGTACTTACTTATATTTGTGGGAAATGTCCTTTCCTTCGTGTGCCACTCTGCTGTTTTGCTAAAAGGGGATTGCAGGGAATAGACTCGATTCTAGGTTGAAAGAAGTGTCTCAGGGCGACAGTTTCAGGGGATCCTCTGTTCTATGTCAGGGCATTTTCCTTGTTTCTGATCTGATTCGCTGTCCTCACTTGTTATGGGTCCATTGACACTTTCTATTTCCTCCTAAGTCAGTTTGGGTAGGTTGTGGGCTTCTAAGAATCTGCCCATCTCATCTAGGTTACCCAGCTTGCTGCTTTACCGTTTTTCATAATATTCTGTAATAATTCGCTTTATTTCTGTTAGGTCACTCATAATATCCACTCTTTCATTTTCTATTTTGGTTATTCGCAACTTTTCTTTTCTTTGTCAATCTAGCTAAAGGTTTGTCAATTTTATTGATCTTTGACAGAGAACCAAATTCTACTTTTATTGATTCTTTATATTGTTTTTCTATTTTCAATTTTAATTATTTCTGCTCTGATATTTTTTTTAACAAAAAATTTTAGAATTTTTTATTCTTATTTGGGTGAAAGTTTACAGAGCATATTCACTTTCCACGCAGCAGTTTATATACATTTTGTGTCATGACATGACTGCAATTCTCCACAATATAACAGCTCTCTTCCCACTTCCTTCCCATAGTTACCTCTTCCCTGTGTCCTTTCCTCCCATGCACTCCCGCCCCCTAAGCTGTCTCCCTGTGCAAACACTGTTCTTCAGTTCTCCAGTGATTGCTCGCTCCAAGGGGTGCATCTACCTGATGTAACTATTCACCCCATATGCCTGCCTATTGTTTGGCTGGAAGCCACAAGAGTGAGTTCAATTCCAGACCTGAAGGGTAGCTAGGGGCCATAGCCTCAGGGGTCTCACCAGGCTCTATCAGACCAGCAAACCTGGCCTTTTATTATGATTTTGAGTTTCATTCCACATTGTTCTCCCATTGTATCTGGGATGTCCTGCACTGATCCCCTTTCAAGTGGTTGACAGTGGTAGCCGGGCACCATCTAACTCTTTTGGTCTCATGGTCATACAGGCTGAGGATCGCATGGTGTACTATACTATTCCTTTGGACTAATTGTTTCCATATGTCTTTGGTTTTCTTCATTCTTTGCTTTGGAGGAGGAGAGACCCATCGTTGCATCTAGATGGCTGCTTGCAAGCTTTTAAGATCCCAGTCACTACTCACCAAAGTAGGATCTGGAACAATATTTTTGTGTAGCATGTTCTGCCAACTGAGCTTGATGTCCCCTGCAACCATGGTCCCGAGCTCCCTCTGGGACTGCTCTGATCTTTGTTATTTCCTTTCTTCCGGTAGGTTTAGGCATAGTTTGCTCTTCTGTTTCTAGTTCCTGGAGTTATTGAGTTAGGCTGTTAATTTGAGCTCTTTCTTCTTTTTTATGTAGGCATTTATCGCTATAAATTTCCCTTAGAGTACTGCCTTTGCTGCATCCCATAAGTTGTGGTTTGTACTTTCATTTTCGTTTGATCTTAAGAAACTTGTGACATCTCTTTTGATTTCTTCCTTGACCCATTAGTACTTTAATGTGTGTTGGTTAATTTCCGTATGTTTGTGTGTTTTCCAGGTTTTTTCTGTTACTGGTTTCTAGCTTCACTCTGTAGTAGTCAGAGAAAATACTTTGTATGATTTCAATCTTTTGAAATGTATCAAAGTCTTGCTTTGTGACCTAAAATGTGCTCCTGGTGAATGATCCATGTGCACGGGAGTAGAATGTATATTGTGCTATTTTGGGGTGGAGTATCTATATGTCTGTTAAGTCTAGCTGGTTTACAGTGTCATTCAGGGCCTCTGTTGTGGATCTTCTTTCTAGATGTCCTGTCTCATATTGAAAGTGGTGTATGGAACTATTATATCATAGTACTATCTCCTTCTCCCTCCAAGTCTCTCAGTACTCTTAAGTATCTTTTAACCTGCAGTCTCTGTGCCTCTCTGTCTCTTTCTTCCCTCGCAATTTTTTGTTGTTATTAAAGAACTTTGGACATCTGTCCATGAGGATGTCCTACAGTCTGGGTTTTCTCAGGGCCTTGCCCTCTCTCTAGCTCTCACTCTGTCCCGCCCCTTCACTGTCCAGCACTGTTAACTCCATCTCCAATTCACTCCTCATTATAGTCTAGTCCCTTCTTGGTTCTGCCATTACTGAAACCACCTGGCCAAGATCTCCAGTGACACCCTAATTGCTAAGTCCTACTTTCATCTTCTCTGTAGTTGACTATTCAGAGGTATATGACCTGGTGGGCCATGCCCTTCACTTTCCAATTTCTAAACTGTAGTCGGGCAAGACATTTTCTTCAAAGCAATATTATTGTTTTTCCATAGGTCTCCACTAATATCTGAAATAGCTACTTCCCTATTATCAGAGAGCTCCTGATAGTTCCTGAGACTAGCCTGTGTTGCACTAACATCTTTCCACTGAGTGTGAAGCATCTCTTCCCACACATGTCCTTACCTTTGAAGTGTAAATACAGCGTGTCATTCAGGGCAGGGGTAATGTAAAGCTTATGTTGCTTGCAGAGTTTTTGTAAGACACTTTTAGTCATTCTGTTAAATTGAGAAACATGAACAAGACATTATTTGTCAGCTGTAAAATATATTCCCAAAATTCTTAACCACATCCTCTTCTTCCAAAAATTCCATGGCATTCTACATGGCATTCTATTGCATCTAGATGGCCACTTGCAAGCTTTTAAGATTCCAGTCACTACTCACCTGGTAACTAATTTAAATTCCCCTTCACCTCCTTTTTTTTTTTTTAATAGCTTTTAGAGCCTCTTCAATGTTATTACTTTCAGCATTCTTAAAAGTTAAATGCATGTTCTAATAAAAATACTTTTAATGGTGTTATCAAGAACCACTGATGTTTTTCTCTGAGGCCTGGCAGTAAATTTAATTGAACGTGGTGAGTCGTGTAACAGAGACACTGCCGTCCTGGCTCTGCTCTTTAATGACTCGCCAACACTGGGCAGGCTATCTCATCTCCATCTGCCCCCATTTCCTCATCGGTAGAAGGGGGCTAGCACTATGGGGCTAGCTCGGGAATGTGTGATGTAACTGCAGTGCGCCCACGTACCTGGGGCTGTGGTCATCCTTGTCATCTCGTGGGTGGGCTGAGCAACTGTGTGACCTGCCATCACCAGCTCGTTTCTGCTCACTTTGGGAGGATGTGTCAGCAGGACTCACACATGTTTCCTTGGGCTCGATGGTTTCTGTAAAATAAAAGAGAGTGGCTCTGTAGAGATAAAAAGATATAAAACTTTTTCCCAGAATTCAATTTGATTAATAGCTCTTTCTGCTTTTAGGGCGGTGGTGGTTGTTGTTAGGGACTTTTGAGTCAATTTCTACCGAACTTGGACTATCCCATAAGGTTTTCAAGGCTCTGCTGTCTATGGGAGCAGATTGCCAGTTCTTTCTCAGGCAGAGTTGCTGGCTGGGTTTTAACCAACAAACTTTTAGTCAGCAGCCAATCATTTAACAATTGCACAACCAGGGCTCCCTTTAGTATAGTCCTGTATGACAATTTTTTTTTTACTTTTTTTTTTTTTATTAGGATTTGGGTGAAGATTTACAGAGTAAATTCACTTTTCATACAGCAGTTCACATATACTTTGTCTCATGTCATTGACCAAAATTTACAATGCAGCAGCTCCCCTCCCACTTCCTCCCCATAGTTACCTCCTCCCAGTGTCCATCCCTTCATACTCTTCGAGAGGCCCATTGTCTGCCAACCCTGTATATGATCTTGGATACACTCTCCATTTAGACATACATAATTGTTTAGCTTGTTCACCCATCAATCCTTCCCTATACCCATGTTTGCTTTCATTGACAACTCAGTATTGTATTTACAAAGGGGTTCATATTTGTTGTTTGTACTGCCCATGTAACTCTCTCTGTCGTTCTCATCCTCAATGCTGCCATATTGGTCACTCACATTTGGTACATTGCCCTTCTCTTCACCCAAATCAATATTTATCTCTATCTATCTAACAGCATTCCCTCCCCTTCCCTCCCACCCCTGGTAACCAACAAAGAAAATGTCCTCCAATATATAAACCTTCTGTATGACAATTTTTAACGCATTGGTAAGGACCACGGAAATTTCTCTTTGGGTATTTTCTCTATAGAAACCCTTGCACAAGTGTACCAGAAAGTGTGCACAAAGGTATTTGTTTCTACATTGTTGCTAACAGCAAACAACAGTTAGTAACTCAAATTCATTCACAGGGGCAGGTGAAATAAAGCATGCTATGCAGATTCAAGGGATGACTATTCTGCCTAAAAAAATACACTAGCGCTACATTGATCCACATGGATAGCTCTCAGAAACATGTTGAGTGGAAAAATGCAAATTTCATAGTAAGCATAGAATACTGTCAATTAAAAAGGTACCAGGCAATGCTATGTATTGCTTAAGGAATCATAATATGTGTACAGAGAAGTGACTGAAAGGATCCACACCAAATTCAAGATAGCTGCTTGCAGGTGGAGGAAGGAGAAGGGTTGGGGACAAGGAATGGCAGACAAAGGGAACATTAACTTTATCCACAATGTTTTCTTTCTTTCATTACAAAAGACTTCATGTCAATAAGATAGACTGTTAATTACCTTCAAATCTAGGTGGTAATACGTGGGTGTTATATCTTTCACTGCTCTTTTTCATTAAAAAAAAAAAAAAATTCCTCAAAAGAAAAACCACCCAGAAATAAAAGGAACACAGTAGACGTTTCTTTGGCAAAAAGCAAATGAGGGTATTCAGATGTGCTGAACGCATTCAGGGCTGTTGGCTGCTGCTCTGTTATCGTGGTCTGTTGAACAGATGAAAACACGCCCTGGGTGGGGACCATTTTAAACCTATCTATTCCCCACTGCATTCATCGCACAGCCACAAGAGGCACTAGATAAGTGTTTGTGGAATAAACTGCTCAATATATATTTAATTAATGGTTGATTACACAGGCAACAAGTTGTTGCCAGGTGCCATCCAATGCATTCTGATTCATAGCAACCTTAAGTGTAACAGAACGAAAGCCGTGGGTCCTGCACCACCCCCACAGTCATTGTTACATTTGAGCCCATTGTTACAGCCACTATCAATCCATAGGTTGAGATCCTTCCTCTTTTTCGCTGACCCTCTATAATAACAAGGTAATAACAACACAAGCTACTATTTAATGGCCTACTATGTGCCAACAACGTTCACACCAGTGCTCACATCACCCTGTAAGCCAGGCCTAATGATCCCTGCTTGCAGATGAGAGACTGAGGCTCAGAGAGGTTAAGCTCTGCATCAACAGCCACAAAGCTCCAAGCTGAGAGTTGGAGTCTGAACCCAACATTGCCTGGCTCTGAAGCCTTTGTCTTTCCAGTGAGAAATGCTGCTTCCCTCTGGCTTCTCAGTAAGGGTCTGCCCGGACAGTAGGTGCTCAAGATAGATTTCTTGACGAGGTTTGAAAAATGAAACGCCAATCAACTAGCTTCCTTATCTGGGCATTCAAAGGTTCCACGCTGAGCCCCTACCAAGTGAGATTGGGGGCTGCAGCATCTCCGCCAAGCCCGTTCTGGGAAACTCTGGTGAGGGTGCCACACTGAGCCCAGCATCACCAGCTCTTCACTGTCTCTCTACCATGTGTCAGGCACTGCACTGGGCACCAGGAATTCAGTCCAGATTCCTGCCCTCACATAGCCTGCAGTCTGGAGGGGGAGATCTTTTGACACCAACTAAGGGATAAATTCAAAACATAAAAAAGTGTGGGGCCAGGAGGGGAGCTGGTGTGTTAGGTGAAGACTTGGGCCCTGGAGTCAGATTGTCCAGGTTGGAGTCTGTATCAACGACTTGGTGGTGGCGTTGTAGGGTGTCCTGAGTTGGTTCCAAATCATAGTGACTCCACGTGACAGAGTAGAACTGCCTCTTCGAGTTTTCGTAGCTGGAATCTTTAAAGAACCAGATTACCAGGCCTTTCTCTCGCAGAGCTGCTGGGTGGGTTTGAACCACCCAACTTTCCGTGAGCAGCCTCACTTAATCGTTTCGTCACCAGGGCTCCTTCTGTCCCATGACTAGACGAGGGTAATCTGCAGCAAGCTTATAACCTCTTTACCGTTTTCATTTCCTTTTCTGTGAGAAACGGGGAGAGCAGTGCCTGCTGCAGAGCGTTGGTGTACGGCTCAAAGGCGGCAAGCGCTTGGCACCTGCTGTTTAGTAAGTATCAGCTGCTACTGTTACTGTTTTATTTTTGGCTCTGAAGATATGAGGTATGTGGTGTCGGAAGAAGACTGAAGCGCCCCGTCGCGGCGGCCCTCGTCCCTCTTTCCCTCCCCGGGGAGGCGGTTAGCACCTTCCTTGGGGCTCCCTTGGCCTGCGCTCTCGTGGTCCCCCGCAGACGCCTCCCCGCCGGGTTCCACGGCGCAGTTCTGCTCCGCTCCCCGGCCTGCCGCTGGTTCCCAGACCTCGGGGTGCATGTTTATTCCTCTAACACGGAACACTTTGTTCCGCTGGGGCTCTGAGGCCTCAGCGCCTCCCGGAACGCCCGGGTTTCCTTCCTCGCCGGCCACTCGCGTTAGAGGCAGCGGCTACCCAACGCTTTCCTGGTCTCCGTGGCAACCCCCGTGCGCGCACGCGCACTACTGGCCAGCGTGCCGGGGACGCCGGGGGCGGGCCCTGCGACGGCTCCGCCCCTGGCGCGTGCGCGGGTCACGTAGGGGCGTGCCCGGCGGCTGCTGCGGCGACGGTGACGGGGGCGGTGGCCGCGCGGGGTTGTCGGGACCCGGCCGAGACTGCGCCGCCTCTGCAGGTATCGCGCCCCCTGCGCCCCGCGCACCCACAACCAGCCCCCTGGTCGTTACCCAGGCTACCCCGGGTTCTCGGCCCGACCCTTCCTCAGCGCCCCCAACCACGCCCCCCGAGATGGTGGGTCCCTCTGCTTCCTAGGACCATCCCCCCGGAACTCCCATCCCATCCTTCCCTCAGATCCTCGCCCTCAGCACCCGCGCCTTGGAAACCAGTCACCCCCAGCCCATCCCCCAAGTCCCCAGACTCCCTCTCCACGCCCCTCCCCGGCGCTGCACGCTTATTAGAACCCCCCTTCTTCTGGGTCCCCGTCTTCAGGACGCGGCCTTTCTGGCAGCCCCCCCTTCCTCAGCGCAAGCCCTCGACCCTAAGCTGCTCCTCCCGGGAGAGCCTTTCAGCTCACCCCCTTTGTCTTCCGAACGGTGTGGTTATGGTAGGGTTCTGTTGCCTTTTTTCTGGATTAGAAATACTTCCGGAGAATAGCGCCCTTAAAGAAGGGGCAGCAGCAGTTCCTCATACTCGGATCGATGGTGCGGGTGCCTCGCTTGTGCTCGGCCCTGCCGGGTGCGGGAGGGAGAGCCCCTGTTCTCCAGGAGCGTGCGGCCCACACGCTGCCCGGCCCCCTGGCGGCCGCAGCGCCTCGCGGGTGTGTGTGTGCAAGTTCCTGGGAGGCACCTGGCCTGAGGGCCGCCAGCCCGGGCTTAGGACTTGATGTTGGTCTGAATTCCAGCAGCTTCGTAGCTGCGGGTTCCTGGCTCTGTCATTTGCTTCTGTATGGCTCGGTTTCCCCATCTGTCTGCTGGGAATGGTTGTAAGGCTACCTGGTGAGATTGATGAGCGAGTAGTCAGAGGTGCCTCGACGCCTCTCAGCTCTGCTACAAACGTCTGTAGGTAGCATTGTACACGACTAAAAGTGGCCGAGAGCTAATGTTGATTGACCACTGAGGTGCAGGGACTGCCTTAAGTGCTGTGTATTGCTTTAATTCTCATCTGAGGCAGGAACTGTTAGCTCTGCTGTTACAGATAGTGTAGGGGCAGCACACAGGTGAAAGCCTTCTCCCAGGACTCAAAGCTCTTAAATGGGGAGCCTGGATTCTGGCCCAGTGCTTTTCTCCTGGGTCCCTGGTCTTAACTGTCCTCAGCTGCCTTGGAGCTGGTCCCTGAGTTGCAGCAACCCCCAGGGCTTCCAGAGACCCCCCTGCTGAGAATTTCCTTTTCCACCCCAGATATATGTAGATTCTGATTCAGTATATGGGGGTGGAAATGCAGATTCTCAGCAGGGGGTCGACCTGGAATGCACTGCGCCATCCATGGGTTTGGGTGGGGTTGGGTGCAGATGGGACTGTGGTGACCCACAAGATTTTCACTGGCCGATTTTTGGAAGTAGATTCCCAGGCCTTTCTTCCTCGTCTTTCTAAATCTGGACGCGCTCCTGAAATATCTGCAGCATCAAAGCAACGCGCAGACCTCCACTGATGGATGACGGGGGCTGCACAGGAGGCTCACTGGCTGGGAATCAAACCAAGGTGTCCCACATGGAAGGGGAGAATTCCTCCCTGAACCACCAGTGACTGTGGCCCTTCATTACTAAAACCCAGGGACCTAGAGGTCAGCAAACTGGTGCTATTAGTATTTCTCTTTAGGTAGATTTTTAAAATTGTGATAAAATTCACGTAACAAAATTGACCATTTTGTCCATTTTCAATACGGGTCAGTGGTTTTTAGTATATTCATAATGTGGTTCAGCCATCACCGCTAATTCCAGAAACTTTTCATCACCCCGAAAAGAAATCCAGTAGCAGTATTCACTTCTGATTCCCCCCCTCCCCATCCCCATCCCCATCAAAATCAACCCCATTGCCACTGAGTTGATTCTTATTCATAGTGATCCCATAGGGCAGAAGAGAACTGCCTCAGACGGTTCCCAAGGCTGTTAACTTTCATGGAAGCGGAGCACCACATCTTTCTCTTACCGAGTGGGTGTAGGTTCAAACCATCGACCTTGTGATTAGCAGCTGAGTGCTTAACCACCATACCACCAGCTTCCCCATCCCGTGGCAGCCACTCACCTACTTTCTGTCTCTGGATTTGCTTATTCTGTGGCCATTTCATATAAATGAAATGTAGTACATAGCCTTTTGCACCTGGCTTTTTTCACTCGGCATGTCGTCTTCAGGGGTCATCCCCATATTAGCATGTATCAGTGCTTCATTCCTTTCTGTGGCGGTAATATTCTGTTTTGTGGCTATACCGCCTTTGTTTATCCATTCACCATAGGTGGGCATTTGGGTGGTTTTCACTGTTTTGCTCTTGTGAAAAGTGCCTCCATAAACATTCATGGACAAGTTGTGTGAACCTGAGTTGTCACTTCTCTCAAGTATCTACTAAGGAACGGCATACTGTTATGATTTTAACTCCCGCTGCACAAACAGAGACGTGGAACTCAGGAGTACTGGATCTTGGTTGAAAATCCGAGTTTCCAGCTCCCACATTGCTGCTCCTTCCATGCAGCCCTTCCCGGTTCCATTTGGTGGTAAACCAGAAACTGGCCAAGGAGGGTAAGGAGATCCCAAGGGGTAACGATGCACCAGTAATCGCTTTTTCAAAATGCTGACACAAAGTTGGAGAAGCTTCTTGGGTTTTTTTCTCCTTGAGAGTGTAATTTGAGCTTTGAACACAAAGCAGTATTGGATTCTGTTTATTAAGTAGATACTGTAAACAGGGCACCACACATGGTGCTGGGGAAGAATATTAAAGAAGTGTGTGATGTCAGCCTCTTGCTCTCACAAAGCTCCAGGAACACGCAAGACTTAAATCTGAAAAGCAGAACCTGTAAGCTTTTGGAAAATTGCACGGGAAAACAGCTCTGTGACATGGGACTAAAGCAGGATTTCTGAAATGAAACCTAACCAGCCCAAATATAAGGGTAAAAGATTGATAGATTTGACCATATTAAGACATTCAGTTCATCAAAAAGACTGTAAAGAGACTTAAAACCGAGAACTAGTATCTGGAATAGGTAAGGAACCCTTGTAATTCTGAAAGAAGAAGTCATCTACAGCAATGGGCAGAAGTAGGTATAGGTGTTCCGTTGACACGAAAACACAAATAGCACGTAGACAAAAGAATTTCCACCTTGTGAGTAAGCAGGGACATGTAAATGGGAACCGTGAAGAGACACCATTTTGTAGCCCCCATATTAGAGAGGGGAACAAGTAGACAGTGCCAGCCACTGGTGAGGAGGCTGAAGATGCAGGGTGAACTCACGCTGCTGGGGGAGTGTAGGTGGTTTCCACCACCTTGGCAGTGCCCAGTTCATGCATGGATGGCCTGTGACCCAGCACTTCAACTCCTAGGCATGTACCTTGGGGAAGCCCTTACTCACGTGCCCAAGAGGCACATACAAGAATGTGTACAGCTGTGCTATGATTACAGTGTATAAAAACAAAGCCCAGATGCCCATCAGCAATGGATCTGTGAGCTGTGGCCCGTTCATACCAGGAAGCACTGTGCAGAATGGAAATGTGTGAACTAAGCTAAGGCATCGATCCTGAAACACTGTTGAGTGAAAGGCACAAGTCACTGGGGAATACATGCAGTATGATCTTTTCATATGCTTGAAGCAGGCGGAACTGAACACAGTGCATTCTTGGGGCTGGGGTTACACTATTTAAAAAAAAAAGACCAACATAGCAAGGGAATGGTTAATTTCAGTGTGGACAAAAGGGGTGTGAACCGGGAAGAAGCTTATGAGGCTTCCAAGAATCTGGTTGGTTGGTTTGTTAAATAGGGTGGTGGCTGCATGGGTATTTTGTTTTGTTGCTCCTGAACTATGTGCATGATAAATGTAACCCGCTTTCTAATGTGTGTCTTAGTTCTCTAGTGCTGCTGTAACATATACCACAAGTGGGCGGCTTTAACAAACAAAGTTATTTTCTCACATTGAGGAGGCTAGGAGCCTGAATTCAGGATGCCAGCTCTAGAGGAAAGCTAGCCTTCTCTGGGGTTCCGGGAGAAGGTCTTTTTTGGCTACTTTGTGGCTTGGAATCTATCTTCACCCATCTCTGATTTCTCTCTTAATTGGCTCTTCAATCCTATATTAATACTGCCTCATTAAAATAACAAGAACACCCATTCCCAAATGGGATTATAACCACAGGTATTGGGGCTAGGATTTACATAAACACATATTTCTGGAGGAAATACTGAAGTTGTCAAGGAATTCATTTTACTTGGATCCACAATCGACGACTATGGAAGCAGCATTCAAGAAATCAAATGATGGATAATTAAGAGGGTAAAGGGAAAAGCAATCTAACGAAAGCTTCTGACTAGCCCAGTATCACTAAGGCAAAGGAAGACACAGAGGTGCACCAGAGGCACAGACAATAAAGGCAAATACTATTGCATACATTCAAAAAAAAAAAAAGAGAGACCTATTTCTTTGGGCAAATCTACGGCAAAAAGTCTCTTTAAAATATTGAAAAGCAAAGATGACCCTTGAGGACTAAGGTCCGCCGGACCCAAGCCATGGTATTTTCATTTGCCTCATAGACATGTGAAAGCTGGACAGTGAATAAGGAAGACTGAAGAAGCCACTGATGCCTTTGAATTGCAGTGTTGGTGAAGAATACTGAATATGTATTCTGCCAGAAGAACAAACAAATCTGTC